TTAATCTCAAGTGTATCATAATTGCAATCACCTCGGGCTAAACCTATGTGCTCACCGCCACCTGGCACTGAGTCCCCCAGTCGGCCGTTCGGACGTTCATTGATCATACCAGCACTAATAGCACTGCGCACTCATCGTCTCTCGTTCCGAGCTTGTACTTCTGGCCGCTCTCATCCCATCCGAAACCCGTTACCCCACACTTCTCTCGTCCCCAGACTCGGATTCGGACTCGCAGGAAGTTGACGCCACTGTCCATCAGTAACGTATACACGGTATCCATCGCCATCGCCCTTCGACGTTGAATGGATTATCGCGCATCGCAAAATCAGTGACGCAGAACTTACGTCGCCCGTCTGTTCTCCCGCAAGTATTAATCGACTGTGCCAACGCTGGAGCGATCTATGGATGCGACGGGATGGGATCTAGACGTGCACACCTAAACTTGCACGCCAGTGTCACCTGTTCCATCTATTCTGTTGTCTCCTTCTGACCTTCGGGCTCCTAGGTTTATCCCGCCTGCCTCTGTTTCAAGCCCTCAAATGATATACTTAGCACTGAATGCTTGAAATCTCTCTGGGCACCCAACACACGACGCTTATCGCGAATAAGAAGATCGCGTCCGAGGTTCCCACATCCATTCAATCATGTTATATGGATGCCTATCAGGGTAGCTCGGCGCCTGCAGGCGGGCGCGATGCGAGGCTGAGCTTGGCTGCGTCTATTTCTGGAGCTGGTCCCTAGAGTCGAGGATACGAAAATCACAGGCATGGTCTCCCGGTCTATCGACCTAGACGTCAACGTGCCAGCCCCAACACCTCTATGACACCAATGGGGTGTATGACTTACAGTGCTGAGTAGAAGATAACGACTGCAAGCTCCGAGCGTACACAATCGAGGGTATATTCTATTCATAGGTTCCCCAACGCTCAAGACAAGACGGTACTAGTCTATTCTAAAGGCAAGCAGGCTATCATACTTGTTGTTTTCGTTCTGTCTAGCGTTCCAGCGAGCCCAGTCCGTCCTACCGGTCAGTTCACGCGCGAGGTGCGTGTCCGTGCTTCTCCCATCTCGCGTTCCGATGAAATGGATGACGGTATTGTTTAATTCAGTTCGGGGTGTTATGAACGTGCTGTACCCTAGCGTGCGTCAGAGCCTCTTCTCCCTTCCTTCCTTCCTAGCTTCTTGCTACTAAAGCAAAAATAACAAGAGGAAGGAACCCCATAAGGTGTTTTCCCCAGCCAAGAACGCAGCACTGATCATGATGAACTCGAGTTTAGACGACTGATATGAAGGTGGGAGCACCTGCCTGTGCCTCGTTGCGCTTGTAATTGGAGGCTCGGAATGAGACATACGGGTTCTCCGACGATCATATGAACTCCGCGAGGCTGGAAGGTAAGTGCTGGGAATTCGAATAGGTCTGGTTGCGTTCTCTATTCTGATTCCGGCTCGAGCTCGCAGGGTGCGACGAATCGCAATGGACATTGTCACTGACATTAAAATGAAAAAAACCTATCTAACGAAGATCGCAGTGCATGGATTTCCCAGCGACGCGTGCCCCGTCACCCAGCAGAAGACGAGTGGAATTTTCGGGCAATGGATGAAATAAAGGACGTCGTAGATTCAGGCGGCCGCTGGTGACAAGTCAGATGGTACACGAAGCACGCGAAATGCAGCACAAACGAATAAATCGGCGGCCTTGGAGAGCAAGTTCGAGTCATCTCCGGTCTTCCGTGAATTCGAATATGGATGAGGCCCAACTTCACTTGACTCTTCCAATCGAATATACGGAAGACGCTAACGCACCTAACGCACCGTCAGAAGCTTATTCATGGGAATCTGGTAAGTTCTCTCTTCGTCCTTCGCCATCAATGAATCACTGGATCGTGGGGCTGCGTGTCGTAAGTCCACGCCTGGACGGATGCCTATCACAAGCACCAAGTCTGTCGTATGGCACTCGAGCCCGCCCTTCCTCCATAGGCTGCAACTCGAGGACTCAAGCTCGAGATTCGAAGGCCTTCGCTTATCGAGGCTCTAATTTAACTTCTCAACCTACCGTCTTAGCAAGCGAGGTTCAAAATAGGCGTATGCGAAAAGCTTGCAGTTAAGTATTCCTAACGCTTGTCAGACATTGCTCTCCTGGTCCAGAAATAATTAAATCAACACTCTCCTGCCATATAATGTCCTGTCAAATGGAAAAGCTAATCGGGCAGCCGTGGAATGAGCTGTCGGACAAGCGTACAGTTATTCTATACATACGGCAGTGGCTGTCGAACTACCTACAGACTCGTGGACAACAGGTGGGTCAGTACACTTCGCCAAAAGTGTGCCTTGCCGTTAGAGAAATAAATGGCGTTCTAGAGTTGTACTCATTGCCCTCAGTTTGCGTACCGAAAGAGATTTCGCGAACAAAGGAGTCCGTCTGCCTATTGCTATTACTTGCCAGTACTGCTCATATTGCGAGTGGAGCAGCCTGCTACCCCCGATCACGACTGCGCCACTACCAATGTGCAATCGCATTCCTCCTAAACCGTTTAAACCCATTCAGCGCCTGCGGTTCGATTGCCCGAACTTGAAACTCTCAACCGCAGGCCGCGCCCTCTCCTCGAGTCGGGGTCAGAGTCAGATCGAGAGCACCTGGTCGGAGTCCATGCCATGACCTCGCCTCGCGGCGCATTCACCGGCTTTAGCGCGCACACGCGCTCGACGCCACATCCGACGCGGACTTGCCTCTTCGGTTCGGGACGAGCGCTTATCGCTGTTTTATCTAGTCGCATTCAAAGACTATAGGCGCCCAATGCGACGCTTCGACAAATTCTCAATTCGATTCACTCGGGAAGACATAAGGATAAGGCAGAGCGCTCTGCACTCGAAATTAAAATTCCTAACTACCTAATAAACACTGGGCCCAAAGGACCCTTTTAAAGGAGAAGAAAAATGAGGTCGTAAAAAAGCGTTCAAAGTTCGTTCCAAAGGGTTCGTAACGGTATTGGTGACAATACGGTGCGGTACGATGCGGGGAGGGGTGGGGGAGAGACCTGGGAGTATCTGGAGTACGGTATACGTGCAGGCCGACCCAACCCACCCGCACGCACGCGCGCAAGCCGGAGGAGTCTAGTAATACTAACTACTACGAGTACTAAGAGTACTAATACTAATCAAAAGATGCAACAGCGCAGAAAGCGCGAAAGCGATGGTATGCGGGTCGTAAACGGGTCATGAAGGGAGACGTGAAAAACGCAGGCGTGAAAAATGTATGCGTAGCAAGAAGGGGAAAAGAAATAGAACGGAGGGGGGTGGCCTGTGAATCGCAGCGCGCGACAAAATTGAAAATAGTGGGAGCGCTATCGCACTCTCGTGTTGGTTGTCGGTACGCTGCGAAGGCCTTTTGGGTGTTGGTGTTTCTTTTTCGAGTTTTCGAATTTTTCTTGAAATGTGATAAGTTGATGTCGAGTGACAAGTGGAAGAGCGGGTACGAACCCCAGCCGGGACGACGAATCGTACCGACCGGTGCCAACGTACTCCTCGCGATAAGCGGTTTGGGGGTGAGAAGTTGGGTGACGCCGGAGTCGGTGGTGGGTAGTGTGTATCATCGCGTAAGCGACGAAGGAGGAAGAGGACGAGACGTGGATGGCGATGGTGGGAACCCTGGGGGGACGATCGAGGCGGGGATCAGGATGTGGAGGTGATGGTGGCGAAGGGTGCGTGCCACAGCCTAAGGGTAGGGCTCGGAGGCGGGTGGGTCAAGGGTTCGCTGGGGGCGATGACTCGACTCGAGTTGGGTTGACAGAGCCTAGGCCGAGACCGAGAGTGACGGAGGATGGAGAAGAGGTGGAGGAAAAGGGGGCAGAAGGGGAAGAATTGAAGCTAATAAACAAGCCAGGTCGTCGCCGTTGATATTGTCGAGTCATCGCCATCGTCGCAGAGACGCGCGTCCCATCCCGGAGGACGATAAGCCACAAGGACCGACCTGGACAAAAAGGGAGTCGAGAGAGATAAGCAAAAAACCGAAACGGGAACGGAGAGGTAAGAAAAAAAAACTCTATGTATGGATATCATCGGTACGTAACCAAAAACTAACTAGGGGATAGCAGACACAAACGAGAACGACTAAGTAAATCAAGTAATAATTCACTAGGTGTGAGGGGGTATTATTAGGAGGCTAAGGCCAAACTAGATGAGACGGCAAATCGGAGACAGAGGAGAGGAAGAGATAGAGGAAGAGAGAAGAGAAAATCCACGTACGCATACGTAGAAAGGGCTAACCAAAAGCACAAGCGAGCAAAGGCTCGATAAAGAGACCAAAACGGTGGAAGACGCTTGCATAGCAGGCGCGGCGATTAGTGATGGGTGGGTAGAAAGTAAGGCAGTGGTGTAGTGCGAAATCAAGTGTCGAAAGTTGGAGAGGGAAGAGGAAAGGTAGACGTAAAGGATACAGACACGAGCACAAGCACGGAGCACGAGCAAAGAGGCAAAACGGAACAGGAAACTGTATGTACAGAGCAAAGCAGACGAGACGGGTAGCAGGAAAAAGGGAACTAGACAGGGAAAGGTGGACGGAATGGATGGAGTAGGACGAGGAGAGGGAAATCCAGCTCAGCAGGATACATGCGATATATAAATAAGGCGTATACGTGCGTTGCGTGACTGAGAATGACGTTGCAGGACGAGAATTGCGTCGGGTATGTTGGATTGCGAGGTGCCGAGGCGGAAAGTCGGGGGCGAAAGAAGTAGTGCCGATAGGAAAGGAGCAGTGGTGGAGAGGAAGGAGGAAAAGAAACGGTAGAGTGGAAGGAGGACCAAGGTAGAAAGCAAATAAGATACAATGCAAAACGTAAAGATGGATGGATGGATGGATGGATGGATGGTGGAATGGGGAATGGGGGTAAATGCACATGCAAATGCCTTGAAAAAAAGCGTTCTTGAAACATCGTTCCTTAAGAGAACTGGAAAAAAGATTAGAGAAAAGTGTTCATCAACCAACACACACGCAATCACGAGTGCTCAACCCATGACGCTCCTCAAGCGCGCCGTGAAGCTCCCTCCCATCCGACTCGCAGGCCTTACGGGGGTGCTGGGCGGAGCAGGCGTCTTGTTCCCGCCACTCGCGTACGGATAGTCGTTATCGTCGACCACCGGATGTCCTCCATGTCCGTGTCCGTGGCCACCAGAAACCATCTGCGGCGGGATCCATCGCTCGTGCGCCTCCGCCTTCTCCTCCGACGTGCTCCGCACACCCATCTTGGGGGGGCTGGGCGTGCTCAGCCTCCGTGGTTTGGGAGGTACGAGCGGCGCGGGTGTTTGAATGCGGTGCATAGAGGAGGTGTGGCTGTGGGAAGGTGCGGGCGTAGAGAATCGGGGTAGGGAAGGAACGGGCGGGGCGTGTGCGTACTGCATAGAATGGCTATGATGGTGCGAGGAAGGTCCGGGGGTGTAGGAACGGAGCGACGGAGTAACAGAACGCGACGCAAGGCTGGGCATGGGAGGCGCAGGTGTGTGGCTCCTGGGCACCGCTGACGTACTGCTGCCTGGACTTGTCGGGCCTGGAGTGTGACTCCTCGGCGCAGGCGTGTGCGAGCGTGCAGACGATGGAGGTGCGGGCGTATGGCTCCGAGTTGGCGAGGGTGTCGCGGGCGTCGTTGGACGCGAGCTCATCGACGCCGACCGCGTGTGTGAGTGCATTGAATTAAACCGCGAGATCGGTGTTGCGGAGTTGCTGGAAGAATAAGGCGTTGGCGAGGTCGAGGCCGAGGAGGGCGTCGAGTGTGGGGTCGGAGAGAGTGAGCGGGAGGGTTGGATCTCGGATGGGCTGCCTCCAAGTGTGGTGGCCAGTGCGCGCAATTGGCTGATCTCGGTGCGCAGTTGTTGACACTCTTGTGATTTTTGGGCGTATTGGGTTCGCTGAATGGGGTAAACGGAGGCAAGACAAACGTGAAAGGATGACGGAATGGGCAAAGGGGAAGAAAAAAAAAAGATTGTTCGTCAGTCAATCAAAATCATACAATGATGCAACCTGAAGGAGAATAGACTCACTTGTCTGTTGTACGAGTCAATGGAAGGAACGAAAACGAGTCATCGTTGGTCAGTGAAGTTTTTTAGAGCGAATTAGGACGCGTAAGCAGACGCACCTTCGTAATTCGGCTTCGAGTTTTGAGTTCCCAGACTCGAGGTCGTCGATTTTGTTTTTGAGGTTGGCTTCAGAGGTCTTGGCGGCCTTGGATGCCTCCGAGTGCGCAAGGTGGTTCATGAGGATGGCGCGGAGGAGAGCGGCGCTGAGAAAGAGGGACGAAGTCTGAAAGAAGGTCAGTAAGCACCAAGTGGCACATTCCAGAAAACGCACTTGGTCATCCTTCTCTGCCAACAGCCACTCCTCGAGTTCCTTGTAGAGCGAGGAGACCTCCTCGACGGAACATTTTTTGGCGGCGACGCGGGCGACCTTGTCTTCGAGCCGGCGGACCTCGATGCGGGCCCGCGAGCCGCCCTCGGTGCTCAGCAGCCGCTCCGTCTTGCGCTGCAGCAGGTCCGTGTTGAACGTCTCCACGGCGGGGAAGCGGCGCGGCGTGCTCCAGCCGGAGGTGGTGAAGTCCATGCGGATGAGGCGGGGCGAGTCGGCCGTGAACGGCTCGCGGCAGAACGGACATGCTGGGGACAGTCGCGGCGACGTCTTCTCGACAATGGTTTGGCAGCAGCTGGCGCAGAGGACATGCCCTGTTCCATGTTAAATTTTTTCAAAACTGTCAGAAAAAGCGACCTACCACAGGGAATTGAGTGAGGAAGACGCTGTGGGCCATATTCCTCTGCGCAGACATCGCAGGCGCACCCTGGGGCGAGCGTAAGCATGAATCGGGCCAGTGGAGGGCACCGCTAGGGTGGAGGAGGATAAAAAATGAGCGAAACAGGGCGAAGGGGATTTCTCGCTTGTCCCCTTCCATCATGGATAAATACGTCCACCACCCGTTTCCAAATTGGGATAGCATCCAAATAAGGCACAATAACCCTTTCATCCGAGATCGATCTCAGATCTCCCTGGATCGTGCTGCAGCCTGCAGGCATTCCTCTTTGCCCTCTACCACCAGCAGTGTTCACCCGCGAGTCCTGCGGGTCTAACTAGTAGGGTTAGGGCACTCTCTTCCCCTGTCCCCTGTCCTCCTTCCTGCGGTCTCGGCAGGCCGATGCCGGTTTCCATCAATCACGCGTAACGTTATACGCCGTTACACGTTTCCCAGTGAGCACAGCTCCCGCCCAACCACCGACGCTTCCCCGCCAACACAAGCTCTTCCTTGAAGTTCTTTCCCACTGCACTCTACCCTCCATAATTCATCTCGGGCGGAACGCCGCAGTCCCCGGGGATGCTCACAAATCCACATCTCCGTGGATGACTTGGAGATGAGTCGAACCCTACCCTCTTTTTCTTTCGTTCTTTCTTCCAGATTCTCGCAGATTCGCAGGGCTTTCTCGAATTATCTTTCATTCAAAGGAAGAAATGCTGGCTTCTTCGCACACTGCACTCCGAGTCCGAGTCCGATCCGTTGGCCATGACAGTGCCCGTGTCCAAGAACGGCCGTTCGTTCATGATCACTGGTCCGTGCACGGCAGAACAATAATCACCAACAGGACCGTAGAAGGTCACAATCGCTCGAAAAACACAAAGGCAGCACTGCATCGCTGCTTTTTCAGTTTCGACTTCGCCCTTTCAGAGTCATCGGCCAGTGTTATCGCCAATCCATCGCCCATCTCATCGACATCTGCATCTGCAAATCCAAATGTAATCATGATCCTCAGAGTCAGACTCACAGGTCTCGACATCGACGTTGTCATTGTCATTCCGATGCTGTTCATTGCCTTGTCATCGTCTTTATTCTCTCTGTGACTGCGTCCCCGCCATCTCTGCTTATCTGTGGTCTATCTCTGTGCTATTCTAGGAATGGATATTGTTTATACCCGTATGTCAGCCTCGGTCTCCATGCTTGCGCTGTGTGGGCGCTGGCTTTATGGGTCCAACTCGAGTACAGTAGCCGCCAACATGACAGTCAAGCATCATCATTATGATCTCGAGTCGAGTCTATTGTTGTCCATGGTGCCCACAAACGTCTGCTTCAAGAGGAAATACGTCTTGTTCCTGCTCTGAGTTGCTCTGAGTCCTCAGCAAGCGAAACCTAAGGCCTAATGTCTAACCCGACCTTCCATCTCCGATCCCGCCTCCGGCTCGAGGACACGCAGCTTAACTCTAAGTCTGAGCCTACTTTCTTCCACTTACTCTTTCCTGCGATCTGCTGTCCTTTTCTGTCACCTTCGCCTGCGCGTTGCAAGCGCGTTTCTTTCATGTTACATTCTCCAGTATGACAGTCGCATGAAAAACGATAGGCTCCAAACCACACAGGCAATTCAACGACCAATCCGCCAGGTAATCCGCCCCGAAGTTCCGAAGGTTCACCTGAATTAAGCAACTGATCCTCCTCCCGAACTGCCTGAATTCGAATGGCCCTCCGCTCCGGCTCCGAATATCCAGCCACCATCGATATCCCTACGTGCGGTTAATTCTCCCAGTTTCAAAGTGCGGACGCATCACGCGTGTTCCAGGGCCTTACACTGTGGTGGCTTAATGGGCAAAGACTGCAATGCTTATCGCATCTCAATCTCATCGATTGTTTCGAAATCACTCGACTGCTCAGCACCGCGCATGGACAGTCGGCTTTCAACGCTGTTCTACGGTATACCGGGACTCTGGGTAGTGCTTATGTCCGAGCTGAAGCACTTGAATTTGAAGGTGGTAAGAACACAGACGAGTGTCACTCGATCGTGGCGCCCTCGTACGTCTAACTGGTTCCACAGGATGCTCGGCGATCTCTTCTTCCTGTGCCGCCGTTCTTTCTTTGCCTCTGCTAGTCCTGTGCTGCGTACATCATATGCTGCAGCCTTGAGACTAGCATACCGAGATGCATGAAGCGATCGTGGAGTTCATCTCCTCTCCGCGTCCAACTTACCTTCCTCGCCTATTCACCCGCCCTGTGCACCCTACGAGACGGATATGAACAAGTGCTGAGTCCGCTTGTTGATTCATCATGGAGCGGGCCTGCGTTCTACATCCTGCACCCCTCTATCCTCTTCTTGCCTAGCCAGGCGACCGTTCAATTCCGCTTCGATATTCGTTGGATTGGTGCGCACCTACGGACCCTACACTCCCCTAGTTCCATTCCATTGTGATCACGAGACACCCACGTTGGTGCGTTTAATTATACACTGTTTCCCCACCCACGTCATCCATGCTCCTATGTTGCATCCCATCGTTTTGTCAACACCGATTGTTCGTCAACATCATCATCTCCTGACCCCAGCCTCCTGAGCGCCTAGAATAACTTCAGTAGGCTTCTTCATCATGAATCATGAAACAACGAAGCCGACGGTTTGAAGATTCCAAAATAGCGTGCGCAGCCTTGGCCAGCCCCTGTTAATAATGAAGGCTGGAAGAGGCAAGCCCGTGCCCACGTCTACCCCCGCAGCTCGGAGGGCTTACGCGGTGTTCACAAAGCATTCCCACACAGTGCACTTACTCAGCTCTCAGCGCCCGAAACGGTGACTCGAGGGCTGGGCCGCTGAGTCGAGGGATGATATCAGCGCCATGCAACGACGTCAGCATCAGCTGTTAATACGACTCCGAGTCAGACGGGCATCCGGGAACTGGCCGAGCTTCAAGGAGACGCGTATGCGGGGACGTCGGGGACGTTCGGCGTTGTTGGGGGCCTTCGAGGGCGTTCGAAAATAGACGAGCTTTGAACTAGAGTAGTCCAAATTGAGCTTGAGATAGGTCTCGAGATGGGATTCAAGCTAAGGTGCCAATTGAACCGCCGGCGCAGACCACCCATAACGGGAGCGGACTCAAACAATTATGGGCAATTATAGGTCCGCGGAGGCGGGTGGAACATGGCGGGGCGGCGTGACGCGTTCGCCTGATCGAGTAAACGATCGGGAATCGGGATCGGAGGTTCGCTCCGGGATGGATGGTTGGGTCGACGTCATGCTGATTGATTGTCAGGGTCTGGCGCTTGGAATGCCCGTGATGGCGGGCGTCTAAATCTGGTAGATTTGGATGAATTTCAATGAGGCAAGCGCTTGAGCACCAAATCGTCCCTTAGCGCTCGCCACTGGAACCAGTCCTGAAGCCCCTCGCCCAGATCCCCACCTCCAGGCCGCCCGACGACCCGGAGAACTTCCAGGTTGGCAAGGGGTGCGCATTCCCGTCTATTCTAGAGGTCTCATGCTACCACTGACACCTCGGGAACCAACGCGGATTGGCTGGCCTGTCATTATGGGATGGGACGTTCGAATCTTCTCCTCGATGACAGTGCTAGAACTCCCTACCTCCAATGAATTACACGAGGAGCGTCCAGATCTGTAGAGATGACTCACTTACTGAACATCTGATCTCCTTCCTCGTATCCTGGTTAATCCCAAAGTACGCTATGGCATCTTATAAAACCTCGGGGCGTTATCGCATAAACGCCTCGCTACCTCGCGCTAGTCCTATCATACCCCTCGCACGCATCCCCAGCGCGCTGACCACGCCTCTAGCACGTGTCCCGATTCTCTTCCCGAATTCTCGAATCCGTAACTCGACCCCACTTTCCCGAATTCGAAGTCGCGAACAACTCTAAACTCTCACTCCAAGTGTGCAGATCCCTTCCGAGTAGTTATTCTCGTTTCCAGTAACTACTTACCTCTTCCCTCGTGGATCTGTCTGGTTTAATAAAAGTGGGATATCTTCAACGTTCGAGGAAGGCGAGATGATAAGATTACTTGAAGGTGAGGCAATAGAAGGGCGATTCTCCAGCTATCGACGCGTTCCGACGTCTGTCATCGTTCTTGGGTTTCCAATGAACCCAATAGCATGGGAACCACAGTGATCTCAAGTCCGGAGGTCGTCTCGAGCTTCGGACACTCGGTGCACGACCTCCGATGGACGATGGTACATATCTTGACCATATCAATCGAGTTCATGATCAGATTTCATGATTACGCGGGCAACCACGCAACCGCGCATTGATGATTGGAGAGATCGTACCCACTCCCGTATTTCCCATTCCCATAGTATTTCACTGATCTCTCGCTGGCACTGCTTATCGAGTTAATTTCCGTACTCTATCCCCTCTCACCTTCTAAATGAACAAGAGTCTCTGAGAAGGGTCCAGACCGTCGAAGGGAGGGTCTTTCATTTAGACGTTGCATTTAAGCACTCGAGTAAGAAGTCACAGCACTCCCGGTGATTGGATATTTATTTTCTGGGGAGATTCTATTCAAGAGACCACTGGCTCGATAAAGCAGTCGATGGTTTGTGATTAACGTTCCAGCGAAAGCACGAGTAGTGCGGCGTCAACGTCTCGTATACGGTAAGCGAGATAATTGACCTACGACGAGAGTATTTTTTCTGGTTTCTACTCGACTTTTGACAGAGCCCAATCTGGAAATCGGCCTACCCAAAGTATTTATCATCCCCAACGATCGGTATGCACAAGTCGCGGGGTCGCCTGGTCATTAATATTGCCCATGTGAGTTTTCCCCAAAGAAAACGGCCTCTGGCAGTGTATATAAGCCCCAGCCCTCTGTGAATACATTTTTCCTCCAACCGCCTACCATCTCAGAGGTTCATGTCCCTCGCTCTCGCCTTCATGTCTAACTTGCTTCACAACTGCTGTCCTGTCGCCTGTCGTCGAAGCCCTTCCTGCAGCACAAGCCTGGCTTATCTATGCATCGAGTTCTACATGTCGAATGCCAGCTTCTCTTCCTGCCCCTCTCTTCCCTCGCCCGTGCTTCGTCGCTCGCTCTTAAGCTCGTCGAGACTGATGAGTGGGTTTCCTACCCTCGTTTGAATCCCATTGTATTCTCTTCCTGGAGGTGCCTAGCAGATATCTCAAGGACGCCTAGTGCTGTCCAGCGAGATGGGCAGTGCCTAGGCCAGAGGTCGATCTTCAGCGAGGACTTTCACGCTCAGAAAACCCACACATCATCGTGGATTTTTTCGTGTAAGCATGTAGGCGTACATTTCTCTTTCTCTCTCCCTCTAAGTACTTGATTCAAAGATATGGGCGTTATGTGCGCTGACGTTGCGGCTGAGGTGTCTCGTTGATAGTGACCGTCAGAGCACATAGCCTTGGCCTAGTACAGTAGTATCTGGGCAGGCATCATGGCGCATGGCGACCGTAATTCGAAGGACGAGTCCGGAAGTTCCTGAAGAAATCTCAAAGTTACCTGATCCATTTTCTCACCAGGTTTTCCATCGACTGAGTCGATCCACTCGAATGATCTAATTGCCTGGCACATGACACCAGCGTAGGAATACAGGAAGGCAACCATCATATTCCGTTTCAAATTAACCTATGAATATTCGAAGACGAGATGATGAGCACCTCGAGGCGTCCAGCAGCCTATCACAACTCGGACAGAAGACTCGCACGCGCGACTCGAGTATGTACTGACCCACGAGTCTCTCCGTGTACTGGAGAATCCTCGATACTTTCCTTTAGCTTATTTCGGGTGCCCAACTCCCGTCCCCACCTCCCGACGTTCCAGTCCCTCAGGATGCTGCGTACTCTGTATGGCCGTTGTGCGTCGACGTCAATCCCTGGAGCTGATCCTATTTGTGCGCATTGGTGGGTAAACATTCTAACGAAGCCGGTCCACTGATCCACTTCAGCTTTGCACTAAACCAAGTTCGACACGCCTCCACCGCAGATATGAAATGAGCGTTTCGTGGGATGGTGAGAACGGTCTCCCCGGGCCGGCGACATAACTTGACGATCATCGTTGGACGCGTTGGGGATAGGTGTGGGGATGATGAAAGAACTTCGGAGCAAAGGGTGAGCTAGAACCACTTTATCGTCATTGATAACCCAAACACACTCCCTCCTTCGCAGTCCGTTGGATAGACTCTTCCGTTTTACAAACCTCGTGGTACCTGATGCATTAAGATGTCCAATACCGCTCGGCGCTGGCGTTCCGAGTCTACAACGAAATAAATTCTTCCTACCCTACGCTGCAGACCAGAGCCGCAAGCGGTGAGCCCAAGGAAGCGAATGAAACCCTTGCCCAAGTCGCATCGGGCCGACGTGCATTGCCCACTGTGATAATGCAGCCTTGCAGCTACCTCGAGCCTTCGCTTGCGCGTACTCAAAGGCGCGTTTCCCCTCCTTCGGGCCGCGGGCAACATCGATAATTGGGTGGGTATATATTTAATGCCGTGATATCTCCGGTGGTGCATGTTACCGCCCCGAAATTCTAACCCTTGACAACTTTGTATTCCAGCGCAGTCGCTCATTTGCCCACCCACACGGATAATGCGCCTCGAGTCTGTGGTGGCAGTATATTTCACTAGTGAAAGTTAATGTCGTCATTACTTGTTGTAAGTACCTCATAGGATGAATGGTACATACTACTAGTAGATCAGCCACCGTGAGGACAACCAGGTCAGACTTTCGCCAAAAAATAGCCTTCGCGCTGAGCTAACTAATAAATCATCGCCTTTACACCGCAAAGACGCCGAGATATCCCTTGTAACATGGGCATCTTGATTCCGTAGTTCCTTATCTCCATCGTTTACGGTTGTAGGTCCCCCATTCGCATCCCTTATCCCCTTGCAGCCCAAGGCGTCGTGTGCGCATCGCTTCGCTCTCGGCAGAACGCGAACAAGGGATCGGGCATTCAGGGTTTTGATGGGAGGGCGGACACGCGTTGGGCACGTTGCAAAAGTGCCGGGCCCCTCTGAGACGAATCAAGGACCGAAGAGGGCCGATGGCTCTCTCTTCATGAAGATTCGAGACGCACTTTAAAAGTAGAACCATTTGGCTGGAATAAATTCTCAAAGTGTGGCGCATGGGCGTGAACGAGCGGTAATCCGGTCTCGAATCGGGACACTATTCACGGTGGTCTCCCAGATTCTCTGGACCAGATAATTGACGGATCTCCGACGGCCGAATTGGTGGATTAATCACGGAGCGGGATCAGGAAGGACTCCGTAAATCCTTCCCTGCATCTACAGGAAGAATTATAACTAAGTTTAAAGAATTACGGCATACCTGGGTCAAACCTGGGTTCCTTAGGTTCAAAATTCAGTATGCAATCCTTATACATGCACCAATACCCCTTTTCTGTATTCTGTATCTCTCGAAGGTCTATTCAACTAATTACGAGGCCTCTACAGTGACGATCTTGCGATCGCCGGGTCCAAACGAGGCGCGTCATCAGTTGGAACGGAAGGGTCAGCCAAACAACACGTCGCGTCGCGTGAGAATCTGACATTTGTGGTGGCTTAGAACTGTACAGTCATCGACAGATCATCGCTAGATCATCCCCGGATATCTGCCTCGAGGCCCTTATCGTTCTCCCGACCATCTGCTAGACTGCCTATGCTCTCCCTGGCGACCCACCACTGACGGAAACCCTTGACCCTCGCTAGAACGCCCAAACGTCGCAAGGCGGGCATGGAGTGTAACAGCTGTGGGCCGAGATCTGGACTGCGGGAGATCGAGGAGTTCATGAGTTGAACCCCCCTCGTTCTCTTACAAAAGCTCACGCATCAAACACGTCAAATGTCCCGTAATATCACTGCATGCGCTAGCTCCAGGAGTTCCAGTACCTGCATCGCTCTGTGGCTTCCCTGGAGTGCTACTGCCCAGGAGGTACAGATAGGGAGTGTATAACCACACAAGTGGTACCGTAACCTCTGCACAGCTCGGTACGTGTGCCCGAATGCACTGAAATTGTGTATAAGGCTCGATTTTTGTGTCAGTCTCGAAGTCTGCATCGCTCTGGAATCCCGGCTAGAGACGAGGCGTGTACACCTTTTTGACCATCTCTCTCGACTCTTGTACAGCAAAGCATGCGGCATTCTGTTCACTTAGTTGAAAAGGTGTGTAAACCTTCACTCAGGGATGTTCTTTCATTTTGCCCAAGTCTTACCGCCAGCTCATTTGTCGTTTTGCGCACTTGCCGTGCAGCGTGACGCCATGAGCGTCTAGCATTAAACACAGCAGACGTCCAGTGACAGTCTTGCAAGCACCCATTCGTACACTTCTTCAGCGGTTGATTCACGGGAACGAGGCCAGTCGGCTGAGTGGTTTATAGAAGGCTCCCAGACTCGGCGACTGACTCTGCTCGGGACGTTAATTTATGCGAGGAACACCGCAGTCCAGATTTCCGCGATGCTACTCCGGATCTCTTAAATTTATTCCGATACTCTTTCTCGGTCTCTGGATACCCAACTTGATAGTCTGCTCCATGATTTCTGTGGATAGTGCACTCAAAATGGAGTGGAAACCATCCATCTGCGTTGAAAATGGGTGAATAAATTTCGATTGGCCCTTGTCTGCACCAGGGCTCGCAAACGTTCCTTCTTCTGCTTCATTTCACAGCCACCCTCACAATATGTGTCGGCTCGGTGCTCAGATGGAATACGTGCACCGCTTCGACGAGCTTACGAAGTTCCAACCATTTCTCGAGTGTATTCTACGGTAATACAACCTGCTGCTTTAATTCGGGCCTCCATGATACCATCGACCCTCTTCAATATGTACTCCCTCGAGCAAACCAACGTCATGACTTTTTTCTCGCTGAAGGACCTTTGCATTCCCCTTCGGGTAAGTTATCGTCACCTTCTTGCGGGCTGTTAAAGATAGAGCCGACGTGATCGAGTTTGAGAACGAGGGACATCCCATGCCCTTGTGAATGGAAGCTTGCTTTGATTTACGGGTTCGCAGTCGGAACTCGTGGTCGCATGGAAGGGTATAAAACGGGCGCCACGCGTAGTCAGCATTAAACTAACACTTCATCCTTAGTCAAGGTCAAGTAAAGTCATTCACAGTCAATTATGAATACACCTCATGTCCTTATGCTTATCACCTTCGGGCCAATTTCCGCGACACCGTCATCTCGGCCGCGAATCTTCACACTTCTGCCAAGAGTTTATGCATACGGCCCGTCGGAATGTCCTTGAACAAAGGCTTCGTAACGTTAAGGCTTAGAAATTCAGTGCCGAAATGACAATCTGTGGTCCAGCCGTATTGCTTCGACCACTGGAAACTCGGAAGGGAGACATCTGCGGCCAGTTCTCCAATCAGCGAGAGGGTATTCGTCTTTTGCATCCCAGCGGTTCTTTGGTGCCAAGGATTACCATATCTGAGGTGCCGCGATCCCGATTGAAGAAAACACCGTCTTCTTCTGACCGTCTCCTTCTGCGACTGTTACGAGAACGCAGCATGTGGTTTAGGCACATTTACTCCAGGTTGGCCACCCTGCTGACGATGTGAGCATAAGTATATCGAGGTTTCTTGTATGAGATTACGAGTCATTCCTCTGTATAAAAAGACTTCGTTCCCGACTAGCATGCAATTGCCGAAACCCAGCCCAGTACGACATGAAATACTTCTACTTGCTCCCAACCTTTGTCTGTGCGGCAAGGGTCGTCGCTTTTTCTGCCTATGCCTCATTGGCCGGCCTCAGCAAGCGCGAACTGGACGCCATCATTCCTACACTCGAAGCTCGAGAGCCAGGATTGCCTCCTGGACCTTTGCCGAATAGCTCTGCAAAATTGGTGAACGACGACGCTCACCCGTGGCAACCACTTCGACCAGGCGATATTCGTGGACCTTGTCCTGGTCTCAATACTCTGGCGTCTCATGGGGTATGTGCAAATTCTCGTCGTGTCACTAACTAGCTGACAAGCACCCTTTCAGTACCTCCCGCGAAATGGCGTCGCAACCCCAGTGCAAATAATCAATGCAGTTCAAGAAGGTATGACGGGGCTCTCGATTCTTACATCGTTGCTGATGTACTCGTATATAAACAGGATTAAATTTCGCGAACGGAGCCGCAATCTTTGCGACATACGCGGCACACCTCGTGGACGGTAATCTCATCACCGACCTTCTGAGCATTGGACACAAGACGCAGGTCACGGGGCCGGATCCCCCTTCCCCCGCCACCGTTGGTGGGCTCAATGAACACGGCACCTTCGAAGGTGACTATAGTCTATAAATCCATCAACTCAAAACGCTGTGGCTGACACTTTCCTTAAGGTGATGCTAGCATGACCAGAGGTGCTGCGATTTCTTTCAGCAGTCTAGTTGGTATTGGTTTAATCCCGCATTCGTTGTAGGTGACGCGTTCTTCGGCAACAACCACGATTTCAACGAGACGCTCTTCCAGGAGGTACGGTGTCTCCTACGTGGCATATATCCGAGGGACTAACAAGATTTTAGGTTGTTGACTACAGCAACCGATTTGGAGGTGGGAAGTACAACCTTACCGTCGCGGGGGAGTTCCGGTTCAAACGTATCCAAGACTCGATTGCGACAAACCCCGAATTCTCCTTCGTCAACTTTAGATACTTTACCGCCTACGGAGAGACTACCTTTCCCGCCAACCTTTTTGTAGATGGGCGCACGAGCGACGGGCAGCTGGATCTGGACGTTATGCGCGAGTTTTTTCAATTCAGCCGTATGCCCGACGACTTTTTCCGTGCACCTGGACCGAGGAGCAACGAAGGAGTCAACACGGTCATAGATGCTCATCCCATACAGCCTGGAAGAAATGTCGGCCAAGTCAACAGCTATACCGTTGATCCAACGTCTGCCGACTTTTCCACCCCATGCTTGAGGTATGAGAGATTCGTCAACGAAACCGTCAGGGGACTTTACCCGAGTCCGACTGGGCAACTTCGCAAAGCACTGAACACGAATCTCGATTTCTTTTTCCGTGGATTAGACCCCGCAGCTAGATGTACCCAGGTATTCCCATACGGACGAGATTGATTCGGGGATGGAGGCTAGAAAGAAAGTTCAGCAGCGTCAACGGTAGTAGCACCCATTTTTACATAGTCTGTTGATGTCCGCTTGAGTACACCCTCAAGGGACCATAATATTTAATAACGCTGATCTTGATTTATGCACCTGAGGCTCACTATAACCGTCGCATCAGGAAAAGTCTCTGACGTGTGTGAGAATAGGAGCAAGACCACTAGTGGCGGCAAGCAGACAGTGGGACTCGACCAAGGAGAGACGCTCGGGACATAGTTTTTATTACACCTTGAAACTCAGAAGAGCAGCCTAAGTATCCGACAAGATACGAGAGTCCAGATATATTAATTATAGCCGAAGAGAGGCCTGAGCCGATCGACTCGAGAGCAGATGGGATACCACGCAAGCCTATGAAGCGGAAATAGCAGGGATTCATATCAGCCTGGTTACGTCGTCAGAAACAGAACAAGGCCAGCGAATACTTTTGTTGAATATCGAGGTTTGATGATGCACTTAAAAGGAGCTGGGTATCGAGGCAAATTCGGGCTCATGAAAAGAAGAGCACAGATCGACCGCGCAGTTTCTTACGATAATAGACCACTTGTAACTTCCGGCTTGAGTTGGACAGGTTTCCTTCATCGTGGGGGGGTTGATATCATAAACAGCATGAACAGAAGGCACGATGACATATAGCGAGTTGTCGTCCATGTGTTTCCCGGCACAGATTCGTAACAGTGTTCCAAGTTTCAGTAACGAATGACTTGGAAGTGCTGTCAGAATAATTTACCGTCGACCAACCCGAATGCTGCGACCCCGAATGCTGCGACATCAGGGTTTTTAGCACTTGGATCCAACCGTCGATCCTTGACATAGTGCTCGGATTGATACTCCAGAAGGTCAGAGAAGACGGTTGGATCATGGAGGATAGCCCTTTCAAGGTTGAAAAGGTCGAGATGTTAGTAGCCAGCTTTAGAGCAGCTTCCAGTTCACAGGGAACGGACCATAAATTCCCGATGACGATGGTTCCTTCTAGAAGGAAGTGTCCATTATACGCATCATCTTCCAGCACATATGCTCCACTGAGCGCTAAACGCCGTAGCACCCATCGTAAGCGCTGGGAGATCGGAATTGAGATTATGTCTCTTCTTAAGCTTGGTGCGTACCAGCCAGAAGTTGTAGTAGGTGCCCGATCAGAAACACCGCTATTCATCGATATGTGACGCCATTCAGTAGCGCGGGGTGGGTTTTCTCCACTCAGTCTTCGAGTCTGTTACGTCCTGGGCTATAGCGGACAGACCGTAAAGTAAACGTCATCACAAGAAATAGCTGTAGCTGCCTGATATTAGAGTTAACTCAGCGATAAGAGTGCATCGTACCTTAAATAAATAAAAATAAATAATTTTTTATCCCAGTGGCCAGTGATGATGTTGACATTGAGGGTTCGAGTTGCTTCTCGTAGATAACGATATACCAAGAGGATGAGTTCGTCGCAAGAGAACGAAGGACTTCCCTCCACTTCGAGCATGGGCGTTCGGATTCGACATGACAAGTCCGGATGTCAGGCCCGGGCCCGTCACGTGACTGTACTTACCGCGCCTGCCCTTAACGATAATGAGTGCTCCCTGTCGCTTGCAACCCGCCCTCTTTCGCTCTCATTCTGTGTCGAGAATCCTCATTACGATAATACGATGCCAGCGTTCCCTGGCTGCCACAATCATCTCGAAACTCCCCGCTCTTGTTCAAGGCCTGAAGTTTGGGCTTGAAGCTTGAAGATTCCAAAGTGCCAGCTCAATATCTTCGTCGACTACGATGGAATCCGGTCGTGGACTCATCACCTCGAGTTTCGGGCGCGTTGTGAGCTGCTACAGAAACGTCTGCACGTGTGAGGCATACTGAGTGGGTGTGGATCTTTCGAAACTTCATATTTATCATTCTCGTCGCTGCTGGTGCGTCGACGGGCGCGTCGCAACCGGTTGGAAGCAATTTTCCAGCCGCCTCTCTGCGGGCCTATTGACTCCCACCCGGGACAGGGCGCACAGCGCGATGGCTGGTATACTGCGCCCTCGGCCGACCATTCCCTTTGTCCGAGTAATCTATCCTTGAGACGGCATATCCGGCCTTGGAAATGCTGTCGCAAGAGTGGAGGACTCAAGCTCGGGGGCTGACGTTATTCGCCCTTTTTTTCGGGCAGATCACGTTCAGATTTATGTCTTTCTCATTTCAAACGAACAGATTAATTAGGTGTTCTGCGGAAGGCACCCAAGCGTTGAGACCGAGCATCGTCGAGGATCGCTCGATGCCCCTTTGCTATCTAAACGGTGCCAGGCGTGTTGTGGTATATTGCACGGCGTACTTGTGTCAGGCCGGGCATCGGACGTGAGAATTCCTACCCTTCCCAGTTCCCCTGCCCGTGTCAGCTCGACGACTAACATGTTACGAAGTTCAGATCGGCGGGCCCATCTGAAACACGCTGTCCGTGTTGAAAGCCTCACCTCTCAATGTAACGCTTCCGAGGGGGATGATGGCTACACTTTGCACAGAGCCCACCTGGCTGTTGCTGATGAATGCGGTTGGAATCGTGCGTGTGGCAGAGAATCGACGCATATGGGTGTCCAATCTGTCTGCTGGCCTTCTCTCGACTTGCGGTCTCCTGTCGTTCGATGAACCTCTGTCGTGCTTCACCCAACCTCATTCTGCGACTTCTGTGGATCCGCGGGCTCCAGTAAATAGCCCATCGCCGGGATTATTGGGGTTTGGACATGTTGAGAGAAACCGCAGCCGCGCGAGCATAGTCGAATCAAGGGTACCGCTGTATAGCCGCTCTAACTCACGAACTGCCGTCTACACGATCGAGTGGAAGAACAAGGGACGTCTCCTACGCCCCAATAAGTAGAAGTGTGCTTGGACCTACGGATTTGTAGTCGGAAGTCGAAGTCGTATGGCTGCATGGCCCGTTCAGAATGACTGGGATAGGACAGATGGACCTGGCTGCTTGAGCGCTCTTATCGAAAGCTTCAGCAACTTACATGTCTGCCGACGTGCGTAATTACTCCACGCCGTGGCTTGAGAGGAGTCACACGATGACTCATTTTTGCCGGGTGGTCGAGTCAGGAAAGCCCCAATCGTTCTATTTTAACTCTCGAAAGGAGCTTCTATAGTTCCAAAAATCGCCAAATGATCCCCAGGCGAAGAATTTCTATTATTGGGCTAGTCAGACGCACCTGCTTATTCGAATTCCGATGTGACGTTCTGCTAGCAATAGTCATAGAGTCATTGTCTGGTCAAGTGGCACGTCTTCGAGAATCCTTAGTGGGAGGCTCCCTAGGTGTAGGATCGCGAGGCTACGGAGTTCGAGTATGAAATGGGCGTCGAGCGTGGTGCTACTGCACCAAAGTTCACCACTTCATCCCAGATCAACTCCATGCCCATTCAATTACGAGAGGTTCTTGCATGTGAGGACATCTTTGGGGCAGTGGTCGCTGCGGCCCGTCATCCAAGGTACGTTGCGTTCTCACCGGCTCAACGCGAAGCTTCATAATGACGCATATTCCTTTACTAAGTCGGTGTAAAAAGTCGGCAGCCAAGCTCTCCAAAGTTAAGTAATGCGACTTATCACTGCACCAATTGTAGTAATCTACATTTAAGCGCCCATCACCGTGTATCAACCATTTTCATCCAGGCAGCAACCACTAAATCGGAGCTAGACGAGTCAACGGAACTTCTGCCGAGAGTTCGTGTGTACGTCCCAGCATGTCCTTCAACTTGGGCGCTACTATACATGTAGCTGAAGAATTGAATACGTAAGGCTTACACCAAATGTGTAAAGGGCTTTGGTTGTTGTCGAAGTCGTCAGTCGGCGAGCATCCTGAAGAATCTGCCGATGAGGAAAGGGTGTGATCGTTCTTGCGTGCCATCGCAAGGGATCCCACGGCCTGTGTGAGCGGTCGTGTCCTTCAAATGCTTGAATCGGGTATCCTTCTGACCTTTCATGAAGAGCAGCAGAAGAAGAAGTCTTCGTACTGAACGAGGGCTTTCCAACAATAAGGCTTAGAAATTCAATTTCGGGTACCGAACTTACCGAAAAGCCCACCTTCAACTTCGAAGCGCGCAAATCTACGTCAACGTGAGAGCGTTACGTGGGTGCAGTTGGTCGGCGCGGCTGCCGAGGTCCGCTTGCCAATCAACGAGAGGGCATTTCGCACCCGAGCGCTTCTTTCGTGCTAAGAATTTCCACATCTGACTGCCAAGTTGACACGACCAACATGTCGATTAAAGAAAGCACCCTATTATTCCTACCTTCCCCTTCCATAATTCTTACGAAAACGATGCACACAGTGAGGGAACACTCGCTCTCTAGATCGGCATGCTGACGATGTACGTGTATTGCAAGCTCACTTCGTGCGACTCGGAGATTCATTGCTCTGTATAAAAGCCTTGCTCTTCCATAGGTATGCAGTCGTCAAATTCTAATACAGTGCGACATGAAATACTTATACCTACTCTCAACCTTGGTCTTTGCAGCGAGGGTCATCGCTTTTCCTGCCTATGCCTCGTTGGGCGGCCTCAGCCAGGGGGAATTGGACGCTATAATTCCGACACTCGAGGCCCGAGAGCCAGCACCACCTCCTGGACCTTTGCCGGACACCTCTGCTAAATTGGTGAACGACGAGGCTCACCCATGGAAACCCCTTCGACCGGGCGACATCCGTGGACCTTGCCCTGGTCTCAATACTTTGGCGTCTCACGGGGTACGTCCAAAACGCCGTCGCGTCACCAACTAATTGACAAGTATCCTGGCAGTACCTCCCGAGAAATGGGGTTGCAACGCCGGCGCAAATAGTCACTGCGGTCCAGGAAGGTACGATTAAAAGTGGGATGCTCAATTCATACTTTGTTACTGATGTATGCATTAACAGGATTGAATTTCGGACATGCAGCTGCACTCTTCGCCACCTATTCAGCTCACCTTGTGGACGGCAATCTCATCACCGACCTCCTTAGCATTGGACGCAAGACGCGGCTCACTGGGCCTGATCCCCCACCACCAGCTATCGTTGGTGGATTGAATACCCATGCGACCTTTGAAGGTGACTACAAATACATTCCCTCAGGGTGTTATGTCTAACGTTTCATTTAGGCGACGCTAGTATGACTAGAGGTGCTCCACTTTCTCTAAGTCGACTGGTTACTGGCTAACTTCCGGCATAGGCGACGCGTTCTTCGGCAACAACCATGATTTCAATGAGACGCTCTTCCAGCAGGTATAATGTTTCATACATGGCCTATATCTAAGGCACTAAATCAACTTTCAGTTGATTGACTACAGCAACCGATTCGGAGGAGGAAAGTACAATCTCACTGTCGCGGGAGAGTTCCGGTTCAGGCGTATTCAAGACTCAATCGCGACCAACCCCGAATTCTCCTTCGTCAACTTGCGATACCTTACCGCCTACGGAGAGACTGCGTTCCCCGTCAACCTTTTCATAGACGGACGCAGGAACAACGGCCAGCTGGATCTCGACGTCATGCGCGGGTTTTTCCAATTCAGTCGTATGCCTGACGACTTCTTCCGCGCAGATGGACCGAGAGGCACCGAAGGAGTCGAGGTGGTCGTACAGGCTCATCCTGTGCAGCCAGGAAGAAACGTCGGCAGAGTGAACAGCTTCACCTTTGATCCAACCTCCGCCGACTTTTCCACTCCCTGCTTGATGTACGAGAATTTCGTTAACCAAACGGTCAAGGGGCTTTATCCGAATCCGACGGGACAACTTCGCAGAGCACTAAACACGAATCTCGATTTCTTCTTCCTGGGGATAACCGGTTCATTCGACGGATGTACCCAGGTATTCCCGTACGGGCGGGATTGATTCGAGACGGAGAGAAGAGAGAGTCGAGCAGTGTCGACAGTAATACATAGTTCCCGATTTCCCTAGTTTGCAGATATCCGCTCATGTAAATCCACTGTTATGATTATGATCAAACGACCTTCAGATTTTTTGTATGATTTTCAAAAGGAAAACTAACGGCAAGCTCCAATTTTGTGCGTCAATTTGTCCTCGAAGAGGAAGAGAAGCAGAAACTTCTTTGTATCACCTCTCAGCTCCGTAGCAATGACGCCTACCAGGAATGTACGCGAACCGGGATGGGGAGATAGCGATCATGAGGGCCAGCGAGCTAGATATGCAGAAAACAAGCATCACAGTCACGGACATGAGTTGGACGAGGGTGTCAAATGCAAATGGCCCATACTAATCGAGACCCAAGTGTCGTCATCGAAACGTATCGCGGACCCGGTGGGGGTTCAGATCAAGAGACTCGTCAGAGATCAACCAAACAACGCGTCGCGTTGCATGAGAATATTCGGCACTTTTTGATTAAGAACTTACCGGGCCGGCCACTACCTGAACGGGACCTTGTAATACACTTCCTTCCTTCCACACACTATCGCTAAGTGCCTCCAGACTCTTAAGGGTCTTATCATTCTCGACCATTTGCCACCAGCTGTGCGCGATCCCTGGCGGCCCACATCGGAAAGCAATCCTTGAACCTCGCACGAGCGGCCAAATTCTCACGTCACACGGACTATAGCACAGGGCAGGGATCTGGACGTGGCTCGGCCCAGAATTGGTGCCCTCGTTCTCAGACAACAAATGCGTCAAATTCGTGCCTCCAACGTATCCAATAGGCACCCAGCTCTGTGGCTACCTCAAACTGCTCTTACTAGTCGGATGCTCAGGTGGTGCAAATAAGAACTGTTTACGGCGTACGTGCACTACTTCTCCAAAACCCTTCCCCTACTTGGTACGGAGGCCCCGAATGCAGTCCTCGGGTCCATGTCTCTAGAAAAATTGCGTGTTCATTCACCAAGATCCCGATACACGACTACCCTTGGAGAAGTGTGCTTTTATTCCTTTCAAAGCCGGTCGTCGACTCGTCGCAGTACTCTTCCCTCCTGGCGGTCCCACTCACAACGACGCCGCGTGCCTCTACCATCTGGGCCCTAGAACGAGACCAGCAGCCGAAAGTCTTTTCGAAGGTGAATAACCTTTCGACGGGAGTTGTTTCAGTACATAAATTCCTGCGATGAACGGCACAATCCAGGTCCCTGTGATGCTACTCTAGATCTCGTTAAGTTCACCCCAGCGCTCTTTCTCAGCCCAATTCAACCGTCTACTCCCATGACTTCCATGGATGACGCACTCAAAAGGCGGTGAATACCCTTTATCTGCATTGAAAATCAATGAATGAAGTTCGATTGGTTCTTATCTGTAGGGCTCGCGAACGTTCCTTCCTCCCAGTTTGCTCCATTGCCCAGGCAGCCTCAGAATATGCGTTGATCGCGTGCTCAGATCCCCGTTATCTTGTCCACGATTCTTATCCTCGCACATGAACAGAGCGTCTGCCAAGGGTGTGTTTAACTTTATACGGCCCGGAATGTCCTTCTATTAGAGAGCCGCCATAGGTGTGTGTGGTCCATGTAGCTGAATAACTGACTGCAGAAGTCTGTCATCTATTGCGTATAGGGCTCTGAATGTTGTCGAGGACAGTGACAACCAACGGGAAGAAATTGGCCATGAGGATTTAAAGGCGTCACCACGTTTGCGCAGGATCGGCTCCCATGACTGGCGAGGGACCCTACTGCCTGCGCGAGAAGTAGCGAACTTTACAGGCTTCGAAAATCAGTGCCGAAATGCCAATCCTTCCACTTCGCAGGGGGTAGGTCTAAATACATCGACGTGAGAGCTTTGGGTCGGCGTAGCTCGTTGCCGCCAGCCGCCGTGGTGTGACGGCCCACCGGATTGCCCCGACCACTGGCAATTCGAATGGCAGGCATCTGCGGCCAGCTTGCCAATCAACGAGAGGGCATTTGTAGTGCGTGTCCTAGCGCTTCTTTCGTGCCAAGCATTTCCATATTTGACTCCGGCGGCTTGAGCTGCCGAGATATCGTCTCCTTCTGCGACTCCTGTTACGAATGCGATGCAAGTACATTTACTCCCTGGCCACCCAACTGACGATATCGAGCTTTCTTCGTGTGAGAATCAGAATCGTTCCTCTATATAAAAAAGCATCCTTCTTCACCGGCATGCAGTCGTCAAATCCCGGCACAGTGCGACATGAGGTACTTTTACCTGCTCCCAACATTGGTCTTTGCCGCGAGGGTCATTGCTTTCCCCGCCTATGGCTCATTGGCCGGCCTCAGCAAGCGGGAATTGGATGCCATCATTCCTACGCTCGAGGCTCGAGAGTCAGCGCCACCTCCTGGACCTTTGCCAGACAGCTCTGCAAAATTGGTGAACGACGAGGGTCACCCGTGGCAACCACTTCGACCAGGTGACATTCGTGGCCCTTGCCCTGGTCTCAATACTCTGGCGTCTCATGGGGTATGTGCAAAATCCCGTCGTTCCGCCAACTAACTGACGAGCATCCTTACAGTACCTCCCGCGAAATGGCGTCGCAACCCCAGTGCAAATAATCAATGCGGTTCAGGAAGGTATGACGGGGCTCTCTATTCTTACATCGTTGTTAATGCATATAAACAGGATTGAATTTCGCCAACGGAGCCGCAATCTTCGCGGCATATGGGGCCCTCCTTGTGGACGGCAATGTTATCACGGACTTGCTGAGCATTGGAAGCAAGACGCAGCTCACTGGACCCGATCCCCCACCTCCAGCAATAGTTGGTGGACTTAATACCCATGCGACCTTCGAAGGTGATTGTAAATTTCTCGCCTCTGGGCGCTGTGTCTGACATTTTCCTTTAGGCGATGCTAGTCTGACCAGAGGTGCTCCCCTTTCTTTGATCTGGCCTGTTAGAACTGAGATCCTGCGTCCTTCATAGGCGACGCATTCTTCGGAAACAATCACGATTTCAATGAGACACTCTTCGAACAGGTGCGATGTTTGCTGTATGGGATATCTCTGAGGGGCTAACAAATTTTAGTTGGTTGACTTCAGCAACCAATTTGGCGGAGGGAAGTACAACCTCACCGTCGCGGGGGAGTTCAAGTTCAAGCGTATTCAAGACTCGATTGCGACGAACCCCGAATTCTCCCTTGTCAACAACAGGTACATTACCGTCTATGGAGAGACCGTCTTACCCGTCAACCTCCTAGTCGACGGACGCAGCAGCGACGGCCAGTTGGATCTCGACGTTATGCGTGGGTTTTTCCAATTCAACCGTATGCCTGACGGCTTCTTCCGCGCAAACGGACCGAAAAGTAATGAAGGTGTCAACATTGTCAGGCTTGCTCATCCTGTGCAGCCTGGAAGAAACGTCGGCAAAGTCAACAGCTACACCTTTGATCCAACATCCGCCGACTTCTCCACTATTTGCTTAAGATACGAGAATTTTGTCAACCAAACGGTGAAGGGACTCTACCCGAATCCGACGGGACAACTCCGCAGAGCACTCAACAGGAATCTCGATTTCCTCTTCCGGGGGGTGGACAGCGCCCTTGGATGTACGCAGGTATTCCCATACGGGCGAGATTGATGACGCGACGGAGACAAAAAAGAGAGTTCACCAGTGTCGACATTAATGGTTTTCATTTCTCCTCGCTTGTAGATATCAACTTGTATAAGCCCATACTTATGATCAAATAGCGTTCAGATTTCTATCCCTGTCTTCAGATTTAGTAATTTATAAATTCCGTCATCAAGTTATACAACCGACTTCACGCGTCACGGTCCTCCCCCGATGACCCCACTTTCTGTCAGGCCCCTACCGTTACACTGTGTCCCTTCAAGGTGGACTCAATATACAGTAGGCTAATCCCGTTCACTAGGCACCATTGTTCAAAAATGTATTGCACTTGGTACACTTCGCCTCAGTGAATTAATATACACAAATCATGTTTAACACTCACTAGAATCATTCCAAGCCAACGTATAGTCGTTCCTCGAACCCTCGAAAGCGAACACTTCGTGTTTCTGGGGGTAATCGAGGCGTTAGAGTCGTAATAATTGGATAGTGGGCGATGGGGCGTGCGAGCCAACGCATATGCGAAAATGATTGGATAGCCCACAGCTTAGATTGATCTTCGAAATCTACGTAAACATCAGCAATTCCTGATTTCGTTATGCGTGCTATACGAGGGTATGTAGCACTGCATAATTGGGGGGATATCCCAATAGATAAGGACATGCATTACAGTGCTATGCCGTGTTACGTAGCGCTACGTAACGCGCCATAACACGCTATACCACCGAAATCGAGGCCATTTTGACCTTCAAAATCACGATTTGCTGATGAATCTGATAAGATCTAAGCGGGTAATGGACAAGAGACTAACTGAACATGGAACCCAAACATTGTATTCCTTTCTGACTTGTTGCGCCTTCTTGGAAGCATCGTACATGCTGTCAGGATCACTGGCGATTTGTGCATGGGTGTTCCAGTCCTCGCTGTCCTTGTTGACCCTGATACCTCGATCTCCCATCCACGGATCGCCAGTCGAGAATCCTGCTTTTCTTGTGTTATCCTCCTAGACACCTTCCACCATCACCAGCATGCTGCCCACAGTATGCCAGCGCTGTCAGCGCCATGTAATTAGGAGAACTGACAAGGGGAGAAGCAGATCTTCGATCATCAGGCCGATCGTGATCGAGCGGCTGCGTCATCGAGTTGATTGGAGGGATTAACCAAACAACGCGTCGCGTCGCGTGAGAATCGGACGCGTGGTGGCTTAGAACTGTACAGTCATCAATTAATGTATCATCATCAAACATCTGCATCAGCCTCGAGGCCCTTATCGTTCTCCCGACCATCCTGTGCGCATTCCAGGATGGCTGAAACCCTTAACCCTCACCAGCCCGACCGGCGACCCTTGGCTCTTCTCGAAGTGAACGTGAAGGAATCGAGATCTCGTCTACCGGGGCTCCGATTCGAGGTGTTAAAAATTGGGCCCCTCCTCGTTCTGGAGTGGCAGGAACATAGGTCAGACGTGTCAAATGCGCCGTAATATCACTGCGTACACTACCTCCGTGCGCCCACGACCTGCATCACCATAGATTTTCGGGACTCAAGAAGCACGAATATGACCCTTCTGCCTACCCCACTTATCCTGAAACCCTTGCCCTGCTCGATATGCGTGCCCGAAGGCACTGGAATTGCGCACACGGTTCGATTTTGCGCCATCCTCTAGGCATTCATCGCTCCGAGTTAGCCGCTGGAGACGACACATTCACACCTTTTAGCCATTGACTCCGGGGATTTTACTGACGAGATTCATCTAGACGTCTTTGCCACACCGAACGGCGAGTCTTTTACGGTAAATACAGGCAATTTTACGGTCAACTAAACTGGAAAGATGCGCCAAAACCTTCGTACGGTACCCCCGTCCTTTCATTTCCTCAGCGTCCAGTGGTCGCCTTTCTTCTCGTGTTTTGCATGGCGGCGCACTTACGGTCTCGTACAATATCTCTGCTTTTCCAGAGTCTGTTCGCGAAGACACGGGATAGAACGAGATCAACTCCCCTTATAGGTTCATGAGGTAATATAGATATCCGCCGAACGCCACAATCTAGGAGTCCACGATGTTACCTTCGATAATCGATTCGTAAAGCGGGTTGAACATTCTGCCGACTGTCTTTCTCGGTCTCGGAATGCCTAACTAGATGCTTTGCTCACCACCTCAGAGGCAAATGCGTTCAAACGGTAACTAGCATCTTCCAAATCGATGAACTCTAATTGCCTCCCTTCCAGGGTCCGCGAACGTTGCTCTATCCGCCCTATTCTCATATCGCAACGGTTGGACTCTCAGAATTTGTGCCTACCTCATATTCTCATGATATTGCCTGTTTGCACTATTTTCGTGACGACTCCTCGTCTTCCCTATGGCCGGCGGCTATTGATGGAAGTTATGGTGTATGCACAAATAGGTTTTTCCAAGTCCCACTTGTTTGAGTACCTCCTCGTTTGAATGGCGGAATGCACCAGCTTTTGGTGTGACGAAAACCCTAAAGGCTAGCCTATCTGACAAAGTACGAGAGTATTAGTATCTTCAACCGAAAAGGGAACTGAGCCAATCGCCTCGAGCGTAGGGCAGGGGCGCCACACAAGCCTAAATCGGAGTATGGCCATCATAAGACCCGAGGAAAAGGCTGGGGCTCATTCAAAAAAAAAAATTTGAATTCTCGACATAAAATTAAACCTTACAGAGAGGCCCAACAAGAATACTTATCCGATGCCCTCCAGAGCAATATCGAAACTTCCAACATCACAACCCGAGGAAGCGCGAGACTCTCGCCTTCCCAGGGTAGCGAGATGCCTCGGTGTTGTCGTGAAAAAGATATCCAGCAACAGATGAAAGCGGCTTGGTGGTGAATGGAAAGGAACAGGACGTCCAGGTGAATCCGAGTGCAAGGGAATAAGGATACTTCGCAGTCCGCGATAATGAAACGCCTGTGACTTCTACTATGAGCTGAATCAAGTTCCCCTCATCGTCGAAGGGGGATTTGGCGTCGTAAACTGTAATGGCCGATAAAACGATGGAGTATGGAGAGTTCTCGCTCGTGTGTCTTCACGCGCAGATTCTGAACACGTCCCGAGGTTCACTAGTGAATATTTGAATATTAATGCCTTTGCATGCAGCTGCGACATAAGAGCTTACCATTGACCGAACCCGGACACTGCGACATCAGGATTACGAACATTCGGGTCTAACTGTCCGTCGTTGAGATGGTGTTCGGGATGATAGTCAAAAGGGTGGGAGAAGGAAGTTGGATCGTATAGAATAGCCCTTCGAGATCAAAGAATGGAGCTCTGAGTCTGCTTTACGATGGCTTAAAAGAGAAAATGGAATCTGCCACAAATTTCCGATGGAGACAGTCCCTCTAGGGATAAAATCACCAGTTGTGCTTCGCGTACATATGACCTACCGCTGAGGATCCCGGGCTTCCAAATTTGCCCCATGGATCGCACTAGTCTTGATATACTTTAAGACCGAGAACAGTGGCCACCTGTCAACTCATCAATTCCTTGACAAGGGCATTAAGGCATGGAACCGAAGGTCTATCATCCAGGAGGCGAGTTCATGATAAGGGGAATTCTGCGTGGGCGTTCTTCTGGATCTCGGGATACAATTATATGGCCAGAAAGTAACGCTTCACGGCAGACCTAATCTACCTTGAGCTGAGGATGTTAAAGGACCCGCGACAGCAAGAATACTTACCGTATCGGCACCGTCTAGACCAACGCGGCCTTTGCGAGCGGTAGTAGCTTGAAACAAGTATTTTACTGACCGCAGTCGCAAAAGAAGTGCTGACACTGGGCAAAGGCTGCGCAATATTAAGGCCTCAGAAATCACCGCCGTATGCACAGGGCACCAACATTATCGACATCTTCATCTTCGGCGTGAGCGGGTCTATGTCCACGTAAATATCCCTGCGTGTAAGCACAGCTGGCCGCCACCGGGGCCCGGGGCGCTACCTGTGCTACGAAAGGCCCTGGTCCAATCAACGAGACAGAATTTCATATCCGAGCGCTTCTTTCATGCCAAGAATTTCCAGATTTAATGAGCTACTTGGGCTGCCATCATATCGCTTGAAGAATGCAGCCTTTATTCCGACGTTCTTCAGCGTCTGTTACGAGAACGAAGCACGCAGTACGGGCACAGTCGCTGCTTGTCCGGCCTGATGACGAGCTGACCATATGGTAGGCATTCTCCGCGTGAGATTCTCCTTGTTTTCTGGTATAAAAGCATCGCTCCTCACCAACACGCAGTATTCAAAACACAACCCAGTGCGACATGAAATACTTCTCCCTACTCCCAGCCTTTGTCTTTGCGGCGACGGTCGTCGCGTTTCCCTCCCATGCTTCATTGGCCGGCCTCAGCGAGCGTGAACTCGACGCCATCATTCCTACACTCGAGGTTCGAGAGCCGGCACCACTTCCTGGACCTCTGGAGGATACCTCTACGAAGTTGGTGAACGACGAGGCTCACCCGTGGAAACCGCTTCGACCGGGTGACATCCGTGGTCCTTGCCCTGGTCTCAATACTTTGGCGTCTCATGGGGTATGTGCAAGGTGTCGTCGCATTCCCAGTCAACTAACAGGCATCCTCGCAGTACCTCCCAAGAAATGGCATTGCAAGCCCGTCGCAAATAATCAACGCTGCCCAAGAAGGTACGGGTAAAAGTGGGGTACTCGATTATTCCTTCGTTGCTGATGTATACATACAGCATTCAACATGGACAATGGAGCCGCAATCTTCGCGACATTTGAAGCCCACGTTATGGTGGGCAATCTCGTCACAGACTTGTTGAGCATCGGACGCAGCACGCCACTCACTGGGCCTAGTCCCCCACTCCCAGCTACCGCTGGTGGACTCAGTGAGCATGGCCTCTTCGAAGGTGACTTCAGACCGACGAACTCTAGGCGCCGTATCTGACGTTCTCATCTAGGCGACGCTAGTATGACCAGAAGTACCCCCCTTCCTCTAGGTCGCCCAATTTCTGCTAATTTCTCGGCAATGCATAGGTGATGCGTTCTTCGGCAGCAACGATGCTTTCAACGAGACGCTCTTCCAACAGGTGCGATGTTTCCTATATGGCGTATATCTGAGGGACTGACAAGTCGTAGTTCATTGAGTACAGTAACCGGTTTGGAGGAGGGAAATACAATCTCACCGCCGCAGCGGAGCTCCGCTTCAAGCGTATTCAAGACGGGATTACAACCAACCCCGAATTCAACTTTGTCTCCCCAAGGTTCTTTGCTGCTTACGGGGAGTCTGTCGCCCCTGTCAACTTTTTCGTCGACGGACGCAGGAACGATGGCGCGTTGGATATGGATGCTGCGCGTGGATTCTTCCAGTTCAGCCGCATGCCCGACGGTTTTTTCCGTCCGCCTGAGCCGAGAGGCAGCCAAGGAGTCGACGTGGCCGTAGGGGCGCATTTTGTGCAGCCTGGAAGGAACACTGGCCAAGTCAACAGCTACACCGTCGATCCAACGTCTGCCGACTTCTCCACTCCCTGCTTATTGTACGAGAACTTAGTCCTCAAAACAGTCAAGGGACTATACCCGAATCCGAAGGGAATACTTCGCAAGGCGCTTAACACGAATCTTGATTATCTTTTCCAGGGTATAAATCGCACCGTCGGCGGATGTCCCCAGGTATTCCCATACGGGCGAGATTGATGGAACGGAGACAAGAGTGTTCAGTAGTGTCGACGGTAATAGTTCACGTATTCCTATGTCTGCTTAAATACACCCTCCAATTGCCCTCATATTTAACGATGCTGCTAGTTATGCACCTGAGACCAACTGGGACGGTTAGATCTTAGAATGACTGTGATGAGCTCACCCAGAAAGCAACGGAAGGTGCAAGGGAAGCGGTTCCTGTTTGCGAAAATGACCACTAGTGGATGTAGTTGTCAAAGAAGAAACAATCGGTCTGTTGATTTCAAAAAATGTATCAGCCAAAAAGCCGGCTCCTCGAATGCGAATCTGATTCATGAGGTGGCCTGGAACTTTACCGCAACCGTCACCGAGTATCGCCCCATTCTTATCGTTTCAACATTGCACAAGATCAGAAGACCCCACCAACGCAGTAGAATTGACAAATCATTGCGGTCGGCAAGCAAGAAAGTGAGTCTTGATAAGGATTACTCGTGAGCGACGCCACATACTCCCGAATTGGAAATTCACGGCTCCAGCTCGTAGTGTGACGTCATGCAAGGGTCCAAACGGTTGTGATATTGAAGAGGAAAAAATATTCACGATAAAGCAAGCCATGTCTCTTCTTTGGGGAAGGTTAACGCGCATACGTGTGCGGTGTACTGGTTCGGCACCCGAGAGCATAAAACTTGTTAAAAAGTATGTGACCTTTTGTGTCTTCCAATCTCATATTTGCAAGACACATACCGTTATCAATCGCGTTCTAGTACTCCTTTTTCTCGCCCTCAGAGTACTTGTAGACGAGTGATTCAGCTGTCTGTGGACGTGGCTTGATGATACACTCGAAAGGAAGAGGGCAGCTTGATTGGTCCGTGAAAAAATGCTCTAAGATGCGCCAAGAAATTGCTTACGATACGAGAGAAGTCGTGACTTCTGTTGTGAGCCTCTTCGGAGTACCTTGTTCGTCCACAGGCGGTCGAATATCGTACACTGCCAAGACAGAGGATATAACGACATAAAGTGAGTTCTCACTAAGGAATCTGCCAGGACAAATTCTTTGATTTTGATGGGAATTTAATCTGGATTAAGCCCAGAATCGCTCTGCTCACCGACGACCAAAACCGAATGCTGCTTCTGGGCCTTTCGCATCAGAACCCAACTGCCCGCCCTTTAGGTATCGGTCAGGTTTGAACTCAAAAGGATCCGGAAAGACTGCATCGTCGTGCAAAAGCGCCCTTGAGAGTGACGTTAATCCACAAGCCGAAGGCAAGAAAGAGAATCTGGAACATACCAGCTATTTCCAATTACAATGGTCCCTTTCGGGATGAAATAGCCGTTATACTCGTCATCCTTCGAGGATGCATGTCCCGGTGCTGACAAGCACAGGCTCATCCCAGGCATCCTGGATTTCAAAGTTGAAGGGGCTCACCAAGCGGAGCAACCAGTTGCCATCTCAGAGTCTCTTTCATATGGCATTGATATACGGCAAAGAAGCACGGTCCTGGGCTTGCGGAAGACGGCTCGGACCAACAGCTTTGTTGATTTCGGATTGAGCCTTCTGTTGCACTTCAGGGTACATTGCCATTGCGAGGAAGAAGAATTGTAAAGCGGAGAAAGTCTTCAAAATGAACGAAAGCTCAGAGATTGGAACGGCATAAACGTATCAAGTGCATACCGTATCCGCTCCTCCTATGGACGAGGATATTGAATTGAGGTCATTCGTTGAGAAGATGCACAATGTTGCTTACCCGCAAACGCTGTAGAAGCTGCACCTTCCAGGATGTTCTCCTCTTCAGCTCGCAGGAATTCATCCTTATTCGACAAGTGACTGAGAGCGTCGGAAACAATGGAAGGTGGCGCTACTCCGCTGGCCTGCCAATTTCCGGATCGCCATCAACGCCTTTGGTTTGATAAATATAAGGCAACAATCCAACGCACCACCTGCTCTTTCACGAACCGAAAAGGAACACGCGCTGAGTCGACAGTTGCCTTACGCCAGTGGGCAGCCTTTCGCTTGAAGCTTGCTCCAGGAAACCAGGCCGGAACATACTTCAAGAGTGGAATTTGGTCGACTAGAAAATTTCCGGGAATCCCAGCCTCGTTGATCCCAGTCAACGCCTCGTCAATCATATGGACGTAGGGATCGTTGGATTCTTTTATCTTGATTCCGTATATTATGTTCAACAGGGCGTCTGCGAGAAGACTAAACGGACACAGATCAATCGCAACGTCGACTGATAATGCCCATAAGTGACGTACTGCCTGATGTGCTCTTTGAGATTCTCTGGCGAGAGCAGGAGGCGCTTAAGAAAGCTCCTGACAGCAAGAGTTTGGACGTCGCTGTATTTTGGAATTGCATCTGTATGGAAATGTTCGCGGAAGAATTGACGGTGTCGACGCCACAATGTTCTATATGGCATGAAAGCCAAGTTGTAGTCCCAGCCCATTCTGAAACGAGGGTCAGCAGGACCCTTGTTGTTCGAGATATGGACCCACAGTTCAACCAACATTGGTAGACGCGGTCTGTCAGAATAGTTGAATGACCTTTTGTCAAAAAGGTCACGGGTCCTTGGAAAGCTGTGCAGGACAAGGAAAGACTGGCCGAACACCTTGAAGTAGACCATGTCGCCTGCTCAAAGACTCCGTTGATGACGAATACGAACCCATAACTTGAAATGTACCATAAATTTTGGACCATTCGTGGAACACTAACCAAGGCTTATCTGTTGGTATATCGAACAGATTCCCAATGATCGCATAGCCTTTTGGTCCTGGGGGTAAAGGAAGTCCTTCGGGATTCCGCTGACGAATAAAGAAAGCTATTATAGTGATCATTGATATGAGAAGGATGGAGGCGAAGACATGATAGGGATTGGCTCGCGCGACGTCCGCCGCGGCTGGAAGGGTGGCCATAGGGAAGGAGTAAGGGATAAGGGAAACGTACGAGTCTTTATATCTCGTTGGAATCAGGGTGGCTTGAAGTCATGGGTTCAACACTCTCGTTATGCCTCGCCACGGGCCAGGGACCCGTGTGGATCCAGTGATGATATCAGGACCAAGTTGGCAGGGTGCTGGCAGTATCGAATCGAAAACCTTGTCTGAAGATAGACGGACAAGAGCGATATCTCCCATTCTTCCTGCGTGAAGCTGTCAAAATGAATTCGGGGTGCAAAGCATATTACAGCATTGTCAACTTCCTTTCATATATGCAAAGCTGGAAGGCAGAATTGGTCACTGGCCCCAAGGATGCTGAACTTACATTGTTGGCCTGTCAGCAGTTGAAGCAACAGATTATGCAATTGAGGGTGGAATGCATCTTCGAGTCTTACAGAGTCGACGAGCTCTCCGTTGCTGGCAGCGATAGATATTCATTCGGAGAAAGTGCTTTGCTCAGTCCTAAAATAGATGAAATCAGCAACGCTGGATTTAAGAATCAAGACAACGCATACCTTACCACATTCGTGCATACCCTGGATGGCTTCAGAGTTGAAAACGAAAGGCAGAGCGAAATGAGGGCATGAACGTCATAGAATGTAGTGATTGAACAAAAAAAATCTAATAGTACAGTACAAAAATAACAGCAGATCGAAACGTACGGCCTATCATGTAACAAAGGTCGATGGGCGTCCCACGGGCAAAACAAGATAAAGGTCGATGTGGCCAGTCTTCGCCCGAATTGATGCTCCCATTTCTTGCGACTTGCAAATAGCATCGAGCCCGTCGGCGCAGAAGGCAGTCTTCTTCGTGAAGAACAGCCAGGAGGCTTAAATGAAGAACCCAAGGCTGACGGGGACTATGAGGACTGAGCACCTTTGACGATGTCCTCGAGGGCAACCATGACACGTGTGCGAGCCGCAGCTCCTTCCGCCGACTCGCCTCCAATGAGCTTGCCCGGTTCGTATCCTGTCGTGATGCCTTCATAGAGTAGGCCAAGGACTTTCAGCCACTGCTGGCCCCACACATCCTTCGCATCAAGCCCAAGCACGTCCAAACCAGCTAGAGAAAAGACACCACGTGTCAGTTACCTACGACAGAGAACGTAAGACCGAATAACGCACTGTATATCAACTGAGGAGCGACGGCATCCTGCAGCAGTCTTGTGTCACTTATCACACGGGCAAACCACGACCAGAACTTGGGCAGCTGGAACATAGGGTCCAGCGGGCCCTGCACGGGGCGAATCTTCAGGATATGGAAGTAGACCCGCATCACTGACGAGACACGGTTCGAGTACTCCAGGAGGCCCTCGACGCCCTCGCTGTTTTCACTCTTCCGCCAACCAGAGGCCTTGCGGTAGAGCTCCTGTGACGGCCAGGGTTTACTGTCGATGTCTTGTTGCGGGATGACCAGGGGTACGGGCCACCCACCGCAGCGCTGCACGAGTTTGGCGAAGAAAATGGAAGGGAAGTGTTCGAGGGTCGTGAGGAGGTTAAAGGCAACTTGGGCAAGCGGGATGGCGCTTCGCTTCTCGGCAGTCACTTCTGTCTCGGCTTGCAGGAGGATGGCTTTGGCGAGGGAATAGCAGGCGGCAATGTAGATGTCCGGATGATGAGGTGGTCGGCCTGACGGTCGGACAATGTCGACAAGTTGTTGAGACTTCATGGACGTATTAGCACTCAAAAGGTATGGGGAGAAAATGGACATACTATTCGGTTGATAGATTCTGCATCGTTCGTCAGTTGTCCAACCTTTGGCACAATCTGGCGACGAAGTTTCCCCCACTCAGTCTTCATCTCCTTGTTGCTCTTCACGATCCGAATGGAGGTGCTTTTAAGTTTCTGGAAGCCGGCTGTCAGGAAGTGTAAGGGGAAGTGAACAACGCACGTACCAACAGGTTTTCTCGAGCTACTCTCCAGTCGTCATCTGCTGTGTTGAAGTGCAGCGTCCTCCTGAGCTCCTCTTCCTCCACCAAACGACGCTTCTTCTCCTCTTCTAGCTGTTTCCTCTTATCGTCTTCCTCCTTTTCCTTCCTCGCCTGCTCCTCCTCCTGTTTCTTCTTCTCCTCTTCCGCCTTCCGCCTCGCCGTCTCCTCTTGCAACTTCTTCTCCTCTGCCAGCCGCTTCTTCAGCTCAGCCTCCTTCCTTAACCGTTCTTCCTCCTCCTGCCTCCTCCGCTCCTCCTCTGCTGCCTTCGCAGCCTTCTCCTCCTCCATCTTGATAACATCCTCGATTCTCTTCCACAATTCCCGATCACGAGCCTTCCAGCCGTCGCGCATCTTGTTCATTTCAAACTGTTGCTGCTGCTTGAGCATATTCAGCCGTTTGACCACGTCGGCAGATGCCTCTGCATATCGAGCGGCTAACAGCTTCTCCTCGAGAGCCCTCTTCTTCTCTTGCTCGTCAAGGAGGCGCGTTTGAGTAGTGGCAAAATCCCTACGAGCAGTTTTCTACGAAACATGAGCTATGAAGTTGGAACGCAGTTGTAGTGGACTCACAAAGGCGTCTTTACGCGTCTCTTTCTCCCATTGCTCGTAAGGATCGTGATACCGCGTCCGTAGTCGTATCGCCGCCACAGTTTCTTCGATCTGTCGTTCCTCCATAGGCGTCCGCGATATGTGTCTCGGTCGACTACAAGAATGTAAATAAAGAGAATAACAGATCCAAGATAGCACTCACATCGACATCTTGTTGACCTCTGACACAAGAGCAAACTCGCTCGACGATGACGAGCTCGCTATCGACACTGTATCGTCATTATCGTCCGAATCATGGCTTGAATCAAGCTCAGAGTCGTATTCTTCTGAGTCGGAGTCGGACTGGATGCCAAATGTTGACGTATTGCGTGGTCTCCTGGGTATGACGATCAGGAAAGCACCAGCAAGATGCTCTGAGACTTACCCTCGAACTGGTGAGGGAGAACACGACCGAGGAGCGCAGAATCTCATGCCGCGCTGACGGTCGAAGTTGATGAGCTTTCAGATGCGCAGCGTAGTGAAGGAGAGAGGAGGTCGGTCCCTGGTCCGATGATGGTCAAAAGAAAAACATTCAGCGTAGCTCGACGAGCCTCATGTCGAAACAATAGTCACGTGTTGTAGCGGAATTGTCGGGCCGTCGAGGTCATCCATCAGCGCCAAACGTTTGAATTAATGGTAACCACCGTGAAGGGAACAAGAGAAATGAGAAATAGGTCTCAAATCTGGTGGCGAATGGGCCACATGCACTAATACAAATGATATTACATTAGCACTCAGAACAACAACAAAACTAATTCAAATGCACACCACATCCCCGAGGCTGAAAGGAAATCGTTAGTCGTAACAGGTCGTAAGTGTAATGATAGTACATCTACTAATTTCTACATCTACGTGCAAGTACACTGTCCCAGAAAAAACCCATAAAATCGGCATTAAGTGGCATGACCTCCATCACTCTCCCGGCCCTCCTCCTCGTACCGCACGGCGCTATCGCCCAGCTGAGGCGAAATTTCTTCATTCAGCGCACAAAATAGGTCTGCGTGCTGAGTATCATCGGTGTGAGTACCTTCATCCATGACGAGAGCAGCAGATAGAGAGCTGGAGCTGGGCAAAGGAGTATCATCCGAAACGAGCTGCATGAAAATTCTGGAGACGACTTCGATGAGCGCCTTGCGCATTTCGTCGACGACGTGCTGAGAGATCTGTGAGGCGTCCATGCGAGGGTGTGTCCTCCGTCTTGTTGCGCGGACGGTGGGCATATCGTCCCTGTGAGAGACTCGAGTACCTGTAGAGGATAGAAGAGACGGAGGCATGGAGTTTAAATTGTCTCCATGAAGAAGTGATGGAAGCGGTAGACCAAGGGCACCAGAAAAAGGAGGAGCAGGAGTATGAGAGCCGACACCATGCAAGAGATCGTGCAGTCGAATCTGGGGGTCCTCCGTGTCATTCAGCATCTCGTTGTGCGGCGTCCTGAGGAGCGTGATCGAGGACGTCGAGAGGGACATGAAGCGATCTGCTTCAGCTTCTGTGGCGGCGTCTCCTTCCTCCTCTACTTCCGGGGGCAGCTCGCCGGATGCATAAGAGCCAGAACCATAGTCGACGACCAGGTCAGGCTCGTGTTTGAAGTGGACTTGGAGAGTGTCTCGAGCACTATACGAGCGAGGGGGATGAGCGTCGGTCAAGTCTTCTTCCCGAGAAACAGACAAAGGAGAGGGAGTTGTCGTGACCAAAACGATTGGGCATTCTCGTTTCCTGAACCCCTCCCCAGCGGGTGTCCTCTCATCAATGCCATCACTTGCCGTGGTATATGACGAGGCCATCGAGGCGTTGTTATCTGATCCCCTGTTGTCGTCTGGTCTCAGTGTTCCTACTCTGGGGCTTCCCGACTGACCGCCTTGAAAGTGTAACGCCAAAGCACCCTGACCTTCTGTGGAAACGTACCCCGTCCTTCGTCGGCCCTCACCTCCAGCGCCACTGCAAAAAGAAATGCGATGCGGGTCTTCATTGAGACGTGGCTGTAAGTGTGAAATGACTGCTTCTCGCTGCGCTTCTCGACTCGGAACCTGCACTGTCGGCTTGGTATACAAATCCGGTCGGAGCCTCTCCAAGTCCAAGTCCGAGTCGATATCGAGGCAGTTATCTTCGTGTTCGCGCCCGATATCTGGAAGTGCCGGAATGAAGAGCGGGCTTGCAAGAAGCTGGCTCGTGTCCATGGTTGTTTCGTCAGGCGTAAAAGGCATTGCGAGTACCGTGGCTGAGGGAGGGTCAGACTCTTCCATGTCCGTTAGCGAGGGAGTGGACGGTGTCGAATGAGCGGACGTGTCGCTTGATCCGAGTACGGCGAGGGCAGCTCGCAGCTCGTTGATCTCGTTCCGGAAGGCGATTATTTCGTCCATCATGAGGTCAATCTGTAAAAGTATATTAATGAACGAAGGATGTCGGAGAAAGGTGGCCTTACTTCGCTAGGGATAGAAATTTCAGCTTTAGAAATTGTGGAACTGGAAAACGAACTTACGGATGTGTCCTCATATAATCAGAAATGTGAACTTGTACCTCGCGCACGCACTCCTTCTCCTCGTCGTATAATCTCCTCACTTCATCGAGCTGGCGACGAAGATGGTCATTCTCCGAGTGTAATTCTTCAATCTTGCTCGTTAATTCATTTGTTATCTCGCTTTGGAGGTGGATAGTCTCCTTCGCTTGCAAGATGCATCCAAGGAGCCGGACATTGGTCTCAAGATCTTTATGCTGTGCGAAGAATCAGTGGGTATGGAACGTTGGAAGCGAGGCCTTACGCAGTTACGAGGTCGTCCTTGCAGGAAAGCGTATGCTGTATGGTGTAAACGACGGATATGCGGAGTTGTTGTGAGGTCGTCCACCCGAGAGATGGCATCTAAAAGTCTCGAAGCGACGTGGGGGTCGTCATCAACGCCTATGGAGACATCCCGTAGTCTGTCAGAGTCGACGGGTTGGTGAACGAGAACAAGGAAACGATGGTAGCTGTTCTCGTTGATTGCTGTGGCACATATAGGACACAGCCCCTTCGCTTCGCTTGAACACCTAAACTTGATAAGAATATCCGACTCTAACGATGAAATAAAGCACGTACTCCACGCAGAGGACATGACCGCACGCAATCACGTACGGCGCTCTCGTGCCCTCGAGCCGCCCAAACGGGCGGCAACACAGGTGACATAAAGCCGCCTGGGCGCTCATCGTTGCTATCTCCGAATTGATAGCCTTTCAGATCGATATCACGAGGGGATATCTGGTGCTGGTGGTAGGGGTTGTAGGAAAGAGGAATCTGACTGAGCTGGGAGGAAGAGGGTTACATCCAAATACACTTTTGCCGTGCTGTGCAAGACACGCAATGTGAGTCACCACCTGTCATTTTCTTCGGGGTGTCACAACAGCCTATATGCATCAGGTAAAAAATAAATACATCACCGCTCTGCTTCGAGGGTCAAACTGACTGACTGAACAGAGATGGAAGAGCCAAAATACAAGAATATTCCTGTCACAGATCTTGATCAAAAGAATTCCTGTCTTCAGTAACCATTGATCCAAAGAGTTCACTGACTAAACAAAATAATAAGTAAAGAAAACACAATTCGAGACAAATCCGTTTGCTGGATTCTCATACCCAGTCCAAATGACAAGGCAAATGATATCCAGCAAAGAGAAAGTCCTCGAAAAGAGGGATCCCCCGACGACACAAGCCAGTAGTGCAGCAGCAAGGTCATCGCGTCCAAAGGGTGCAAGCAGAGCCTAAGGAACTGGGGCGGCAAAAATTAGATAACCAATAATGAGGGCGGTGCCCTCATAATAGTGGTTAAACTATTAAGAACAGATACTACACTTGATCTAAGCCAAAAGGCCAGAGTGGTAAGGATTCGAAGTGGGTGATCTCTTCCTTATATATGAGCGCCAAATGCGCACGGACCACGTGTGCACGTGCAACACACGAACTGGTTAGCGCCCAAAATTTCAACCCCGACAGTTGGACATCGTGCAAGTTCTACGTCGAGAATATTGGGCCTTACGAAAATTCGACAGAAATAATATCTGTGCTGAAAGCTTCGGCGTCAATGCCCAATTTTGACTGCCATTTGCCCAGCCTTCGGTTTATTTCTGTCAGTAACCTACAGGACAACCGAGCACTGCTCGAAGTAACCCAACCGTACTCAAAATTCCATGGCCACCGCCATCGAGCTGCGCGGTGTCCTTATTGAGTATGTAAATGCATAACATTCAAGAATGACGAAAGACCAGACATATTTTGCGAAGCTCAACTCGGAATTCGAGTAAGTCCACCGCAACCTGGTGCCTACCTCTTTACCATTCCACTGGCCGTCACTTTGGAGCTGCGCATAACGCTCTGCATCACAACTCTCTTCGCCTGTTGCGCGTAACATTCAACATCGCGCATGAAACGAGAGCAAAAATATTACACCATACCTGAGCATATTCGACCGCGCCTTCCGTCATCGCGACCGTTGGCGCCCGCGCTCCAGACGAATATTCCTCTTGCATCCTGGGGTAATCCACATCCACCACCTTCCCCCTCCCCTCTCCCACGCTTACCGCCGTCTTCCAATTCGTGACGTTGTCCTCGGTCGCTTCTGACTTGTTGTAAACATTCTCAACTTCGATCTTGTTCATCTTTACGCCTCGATCCTTGAGCTTGTTGTGGACCTCTTCCATGACGTCTTCCAGCGGACGCGATTGCCCGTAGACGTCTTCGACGATGCTGGCCTTGTACTCTCCGATTAGCTTTTCAGTTTCGATCGTCTCGACTGCTGTTCCGGCGATGTAATCTCCAAGGCGGTCGGCCATGGTTAGCGGGAACATCTTTCCGCTGATCAGAGTCAACAATTGAACGAAGGCAAAGGACCAAGGGGTTTACCCAGTAATCTCGGTCAAGGCGGTGTAGAAGTCCACAGCGTTCTGTTCAGCATGTGAGCTGCCTGTTGAAGTTGGGTATCAAATGCCTTACCTTGTACCGGCTCAACTCCGGCTCACAGGCGACGACAAACTGGAAAGGAATAGGTTCGACAGCGCTTCCAGTTGCAAAAAAACCTCAGGCGTCTTACCAGAGTGATTCCTCTCTCCGCCATCTGGCGAGCAATATCCAACGGGTCATTCTCTGTCAAAAATATCAGCCAGCATTCATCCCTTTCTCAGTATCACTCACGATCAGGCGACGCGTCGAACCCATCCCCAACTTCCCCAATCCCATGAGGCGGCGCGTCTGTAATCAAGACCATCATCTTCGTCGCGTTCTCCCCCCAGCCCATATTCAGCCCCTCCGCGAGTGCCGCCGTGCTCGCCTCCGGGCCATCACCACCGCCGCTCGCGACCAGCGACTTGAGGTTCTTCTCCATCACAGAGATCTTGGAGCTGAACCCGAAGTTCTTTGTCACGTATGTGTTGTCCTGTGGGGGGTGGTCGCGGAAGGCGATGAGCCCGAACCGGATAGCCTCAGGTGCGATGGATGTCGAGGCCGTGATCTTTTGGCAGATGCTCTTGATTGCGGACTTGGCTGCCTCGATGTAGGGCCCCTGACTGCCGGTCGTGTCTTGCAGGAACAGGATATCTCTGGAGAATTTGGGGTAGTGAGTTAGACATAGGAAGAGACCGTGAAGTTGACGAATACATCTGGCTTGCATCTTGTAAGGGGCTAACATCTTTGCCATCCTGGCTTGCGCTGGGTTTCGACGTGGAGTTTCTTTTGGGAGTGGCAGCGCCGTCCTGCTGAATGACCGATGAACGCTTGCCTTTGCCTTTCCCGAGAGACTTGAAATACGAAAACATGGTGAGAAGAACTGCTGCAATTCGCCTGCCACGCCTTATGGCCTTATATGCCTAACAGGAAGCTGTGCTTGGCCTCTCCGCTCACGACTCGCGCAGACGATCGACGAAAAATGACTTTGACCTGTCAGATAAATTAAGGCTGTGCCACATACACATAATCCAGGTACACTGCGGACTATTCTTTACAGAAAGGGTTCGGCTACTGTGTCTTTTTCTTGGGCTTCTTGTTCACGGAATTCGCTGGCTTCGGGGCAGGGGTCGATTCGAGCCAGTGTGTCTGAGCTACGCGAGCTGCGAACAGGGTGGCGAGGACGACATAGGCGAGGGATTTCGCTTCCAGGGTGCTGAGGGGTGGGAAATCGGCATCTGCATGCGGCTTGCGGGTGGCAGAAAGGAAAGGGGAGGACAGAAGGAGCGTGGTGTACGTTTTCAACGAGGCGAAGGCAGGGTGATTCGTCGTGCTGCTGTAAATGAGGGCTGGAGGAACGTTGGTTAGCAAACGAATGCTACGAAAGCAACACACACACCGACAAGAGCTCCTCCCCAGACATCCAGAGTCCCTGCCCATCCTGCACCAGCACGAAGGATCGGGGGTGTCGTGAAAGACCAAGACGTCGAAAATGCACCAAGGGTACCGACGGCTACGCCTCCACCTGACGAGACTATTGCACCAACAATCATGTGGGTCAACGCGGAGTTCTGATATTCTGGATGTACGCTGGGCGCGTAGAGCAGCCCCAGGGTGCTGGTGACCGCGTTCGTTCGTAGTAGGGCGTCCAATGGCCAGAGTATCGTATCAAGTACGGGTGGATAAAGAAGCTATGTCTGGAGCTGAGGTTCTGGGCCACTGAAGTCGTTTTGGAGGACGTACATCTGGCAATATTTTGAAAAGGAGCGTCACGATTAAATGAACGGTGATATAGTTGATGGCTGGATGGAACGAATAGAGCATAGGTGGAGGCAGTCCTAGCAGAAAATGCGACAAGATGCCTCCTCCCCAACACTATTGATATAAATCTTCAGTACGCGGCTTCAAACAAAGAAACATCCACGTACCATGATTAGGTACCCTATTAGATACGTCCCCCATGATTGCTGACTCGATGAACGGCGGGTGTTCGACTGGTAGATGATGGAAATACGCGCAGCGTGAAAGGTCGGAGCTAACGGATATGGAAACCATACTGGGTGCACTTTTGTCGTGTTAATGTACACAAACCCTTCAGCAAAAGGCTTCAGGTAGCTCGCTGCCGTTAGCGCGAATTCCATGATGACCTGGAGAGAAGAGGAGGTTTACTGGAGGTCGCCGCGCCGTGATGTCGAAACTCGGCATACGTCAGGTGGTATTAGTCAGCTTTATCACATGACAGTGCCGCCCCACTCGGCTTGTCGCGGTCCGGATCCCCGTTTCTCTCCCAGCGTCCAGAAGAAAGAAGCAGTGTTGAAATCGTTCCACTACCATCTCCTACGACGATGTCATCAAGTGGAATCACTCTTGATAAATCTCGTATTCTTCCAGGCCGATATCCTCCTCCTGGAACAGATCCAGTCGCGGACGCCATCAGGGAACGCAGAGGCGCTCGCGGGATCACACCCCTAGACGCCAACCTCCTTCATGTCCCACACATCGCCAGCGGGTATAATGCACTTCTCGGAGCCATACGGACGAATGGAAAGCTTCCTGGGGATATCCGTGAAGCAATGGTACGTAGGTCCAAGGTCCTCGTTCCACCTACATGATTAAAGACCTTTATAGATCCTCCGGATCGCAGCCCTTAATCACGCTGCATTCGAATGGATACAGCACGAAACTATAGGGAGAAAGGAAGGACTTACGACCGGCCAGCTGTATGCGATTAGGGACGCCGAGACACCTCTCCCGCCCCTCAGCACGATCTTCACTCCACTTCAGGCAGCGGCTATCGCCTTCACGGATCACAGCACTCGGAATGTTCGTGTTCCATTGGACTTTGCAGATCAATTCAAGGCCTTGTTCGGGAATTGGATTTCGAGCCAAAAAATAACGGAGGTCGACCCCGACGATCTGTATGCCGAAGCTGCGATGGTGGTTGCCTCGTACAACATGGTGTCGCGGTTCTTGTTGTCGACGGATGTAGCAGGCCTTTCTGACACGGATGTTCCGTGGCCAGTGGAGAGGAAGAAGGTAAGTCTTGGGTTATTTTTTCTTCTCTGAGTGGCGAGGATTTATGGATGATGGATAGAGTTTCATCGAAATTCCGTCCTTCCCTCCTGCGACTCTTCCAGCTCACGCCATGAGCGCCGTTACACTGATAACCTCTCCATCGGCTCCATGGATCGTCTTCGCCAACTCCCTGCTCACCGACTGGTCGATGTGGGCGTACGTCGTTCCCTACTTCCTCGACCGCTCGTACAACATCCTGCTGCACTCCCAACGAGGGCACGGGCGTTCAACGCTTCCACTACCCACCAAGGGACAAGATCGTCTAACCACCATTCCTCTGCTGGCTTCAGACATCACGCATCTCCTCGATGCGCTCATGATCCCAACTCCCGTGCACGCGGTGATCGGTGTCTCCCAGGGTGGGGCAGCCGCGCTTGCCTTCGCCAATATGTATGGTGACTGGACGCGGTCCATTGTAGCGTGCGACACCTCTCCACGCACGCCTGCAGGCAACAAAGAAGCATGGACAGAACGAATCCGGCTTGTTCGTGCCGTCGACGGTGCTAACGCGGACGAATACGCACAGCGCATTGGGATGGGCAAGCTTGCGAAGGTCACGGTCCCGCGGTGGTTCCCACCAGGATCAACCTGCAATGCGCCTGTAGGAGAAGAAGAGGCGCGCGCACGCTGGGTGGAGGGTATGGTTGAGCGCACGGATGTGGAGGGGTTCGTGCAAGGTGCACGGGCGCTTAGCAACTATGATGTCACACCAGGCCTGTTTGAAAGCAAGGTTGAGCGTGTTCTCTTACTTGCGGGTAATCTGGATGGAGGTGGGAAGGTCGGACAGGGGTTGCAGGCATTGCATTCCAACTGGAGTGCGGTCAATAAAGCTGTGGTGGAGTTTGTGGGGGTAGATAACGCTGGCCATCTCCCTATGATCGACTCTCCTGAGTTGTTCTGTGAGGCTGTGGGTAGATTCCTGGATGGCGTAGACGCTGTTCCTATGTAACGACCATCGTTCTTCTAATATGACTGATAGTGGTGTTCATTAAAATAATAGAAGAGTGCATGCTGTCAAGACGCACTTTTGTTATTTTGAAAGAAATTGCATGTACTACCAGAGGTTCAACCGTCCATCCGTCCATCGTCTCGTCTACTTACACTGAGGTCTCGGTGGCACATATTCGTATGAATAGCAGAAGTTCTCAGAATATAAGTGGAGCTTGGCCGGACGGAATTAATATTCTGTGTTTGCTTTTTGAATCATTATCATCAAGAATCAGCGCTCAGCGATGACAACGGTCCCTGTCAGATACGTACACTGTGTCTTGGAGAACACTGCAGGTGGATTTTGTAAAAATGATTAATACATTTTTATTTTTCTTGGTTCGTGGCAGGTGTTTGGCGGCTTCATGCGTTTCCAAGAGCATGTTGTGGATTGGAATATTTATGGCCATTTATTGATCATTTTCCTTCAATTTCTCAATCCCCCGAAGTTTCCTACTACTAGGCCCCTCACAATGACCGACGAGGTGACCACATTCACGAAAGTCAAGGCTTTCCTTTCCCTCTTGTTCTACAAGACCTTCGTCTCCGTCACACTGTACGATGCGGTCTGTCAAGCCGTCGAGCGGCCCACCATAGGCGCCCCATATCTGATCAAGAAGTTATCTTATCTCTACCGACGGGACCTCGAAGTGGTGAGTGTCGGCTGAGCCGCGTGGCGAGACGTCGTTCAGTTCGTTCCGATGCTCATGAAGACCTCCCAGCTCGTTCCAATGGTGTTGTTCGTGCCCGTCCTAATCGTTTTCAGAGCACCGCAGTTGACCCATTTATCCTCACATAAGATGGAATATTTATAGCCAACGCATCGCCTCTGCTACCTGGGGCCTTTCTCTTATCTTCATTATCAGACAGAACTTTCTTGAGGAAGTCGATGAGGATATCTTAATCGTGAGTATGAGCCCGTGAAATTTTGAAAATAGGGAGTACGAGTCGCCTAACTAGCCGTGTTCTATTTTTAGGAGCGTATCGATGCGCTTGGCCCTGTCGCGTTTACTCTTACGTGCTTTGTCCCAACCCTCGCGACTCGCGTGTACTACTGCACAGAGATCATGATCGCGTCGTTCTCCCCTGCAGTCGGGGTTTTGCAGATACTTTTCGTGCTGCTTCCGGGGATGTTGGGCCTCATCGCAAAGGTCAAGCAAGTTTACTCAGGCCTGATTGAGACACCGAGGTGCGCCACTCTTTCTGCTTCGGCCTTGAGCTTCGGCCTTGAGATGCCGGCAATTCACCGAACTTTCAACAGGCTAGCAGTTGTTGCAACGGGAATGTAAGAGTATCTCATGAACAGAGGCAGTTGTCGCCGAGATCGACCGAGTATCTTCGTATTATTAGCATCTCTCTCATGCAGCACAAGAAAGTAATAGAAAAATGATATTAGCCAGCAACTATCCTTCGATCATGAGCGTGTATAAATTAACACCAAAGCACTGGGCACATTAGAGTCCTAGAGGAAGACGAAGCTCGTGCGGTTGGGAAGCTCAGTATTCCTCGCGACTTCGGTGAGATTTCGGCCACCGTCGACCCTCCTGAACACCGCGACTCCTCCGTCCAGATTAGCGCCAGCGATTAAGAACTCATCGCCTCCATCGGCGACGCGACCGAACGCCATGCTGCGAATCTGGCGGAGGCCTGTGAACACTTGTGCCTGCAGTGTCAGGGTGCCCGCGATCTGGTTGATGGGGTAAGCATCGAGCTCTTCTTCCACAGCTTCAACGTGGTCACGGCTGAACCAATGCCTAGCATGGAACCGGCGGCGCCTTGTCGGTGCGGGATCACTAGAAGGCGACGAGGACTGCGTCACCGCCACGCTCGAGTTCTTGAACTCGAAGATGGCGATCGAGTCCCCACGCGGGTCGAAGTCGGGCCCGAGGTTGCGGTTGCTGACGTAGATGAGCGGGTCCGGGGACAGCTCGGAGGGCTCGGAGATGAGGATCTCGGCGGCGAAGAACGACGCATTCAGGCTCTGGACCTGCACGTCATCAGGGACGATGGACACGTTGGCGAGCAGTGGCAGCGCCGTGCCGTTGGGCGCCTGAGGGATTTGCTGTGCGGTTAGCGTTGATGTGAGCTCGTTGATCGTAAACAGGATACCATCTAAACTGTGATCAGCAACCGAGGCAAGGGAGGTTAACGGGAGAGACCCACCTCGGATGGCGATGTGGCGAGGTCCGTTACCGGGTGTAACGTCGATCTGGCCTTGGATTCTGAACTTGCCCGGTTCGCCGTCGTTCACCAGACGCCAGATCTTGTCAGCGCCCTGGAGAGGACAGTGAACAAGTTGGCACAATTGATTCTGGAATAACTCACGAGGTCTGGCACAAACACCTCTCCATTGAATTCCAAAGACATGTGCGGGTTTGAAGGACCTCCATTGACGGGAAATTCGACAACTGGGGAGTCTTTGCTGAAGCGGAGTGGATCGTCAGGCAATGTGGCAACCAGGGAGCAGTTAGGAGAGCCGAACTGTGTCGGATAATCAGCGGATTGGAGCAAAGAAACGAAATGAGACAGGACGGACGTTCATCGCAGTGACCTCTCCCGTTGACAAAGGGTTCGTGAACGTCGGCCCAGATCCGCCCGTTGACACTGTATCCACCAGCTGTAGGCCACCATCTGCATCAACCAGGAAAGATTGCAGGTTTCCAACTGGGGAGATTTCATTGACGGCACTGTGGGCGTGGCACAGTCAGCAGCAAGCCGCATGCCACCACGAGGTGTACTCACTAGAGGATGCTTGAGTTCTGGGGGTGTGAGGCGATCCAAGAAGGGTTGCTGCCTGTCTCTGTCTGCTTCGTGAGGGAAAGTGTAGAGGCGTCCGAGTCGAAGACGTAAGTTGCAATAAAGGTGGTGAAACCGCCGGCAAGGATCGTGAAGTTGACCATCGTGAACGAGAGGAGCTGCTAGCAGCGATTAATGAAGAAGAAAGGGAAAGGAAAGGAAAGACGGGAGGGCGCTGGGCCTGACGAGAAGGAAGATGGTGGGAGAAGGAAAGAAAGATGCACAGAGGCGTCCCTTCAAAAATGAAGAAGTGAAACAATGACCGCTGGTCGTGAGGCAGTGGCTCCGTTAGTAGTTCTCGGCATTTGTACTTCTGAACAATGGCTTCTTTTGTTGTTATCAGATATTACGCCCCTCCCAGTTCGCTTTCAGTAGCTTTCAGTGCCCACCTAAAGTGACACCCAGGCAACGAGGTCCTAAGCTGCATCGTTGATTCGTTCGTCGATGGTGGTCATGATGGGAGTTGAATCAAAGTTCGATGGGAGAATAGGCTTTGGCCTTGGCACAGGCGGCACGGCAAACTCCATGGGCGTCATTATGATCCCCTTTTTGGCTTTCCATCTTCGAATTGCTCTGCGACACCCGTTTGTTCCCTCTGTACAGACGCAAGATGCATCAGGACGAGAAACAGATGGAAGTGTAATGTTTTCTCAACTGTGCTCCCACACACTGTCGAAAGACACGTTGAAAAGGGAGACTTTTCTCTAGAGGTTTTTGTAATCTCCTTCAAGGGCTGGAGTTCACTTGTTCTTTTGTCTTTTAGTGAAATCAGTATTCTTGAGCTGCCCGCGAAGGACAAGACATAGCTCTCGGAACCACAAATCGAAGACCTTGGTCCATGATGCATGACGAATCTCCTTCGGGAACCTGACCGTTGAGACGCTGAAGACCCAGGTGTATCACCGAGGGTGACGGTGTCGATGGTGTTAGAGAGAGATGTTGCTTGTCGGGAAATGGTGGACCTGGCCTGGATGGGAAGAATCGGGTCCATCATAGATTGACCAAGGTAAGGCACTGTTTCATCGATGGCCTGTGGTCTTCAATAAGTCGCACATCCAGGTAAACTTGGTACTCCAACTCACGCTGGGCAGCCGGGAACAATCAAGATCGCGAGACCATGGAATTATACGATGACTCGGATGAAATTCAGGACGCTGATCATCCAGAGACTGGGAGTGAGGAAGAGAGGAAGATGCCGGGAGTGAGGACGATCAACTCGAAATCATAACGTCACCACGTGATGTGGAGGACTTCGGTGAGGTACGGTGGTCAGAATTCATCCATGGGTTTTCTCTCTTATTCCACATCAAGGTTGTATATCGGCGCATCAACAGCCAGTGGCGCCTCACGTTCACTTCGGTTGCTTTGACTGATAGTCTATCAGCCCTACATGGGGAACTTGTGGAAAACGATCCAGCAAAGTATGTTGACGGCCCCTGGGACTTCTGAGAGCTCGTCTGGATTTGAAAGGTCCCAATGGTGATCCCGAGACTTCCCCACTTTATTGGAGGAACTGATTACTTACTCGCTAGGTACAAGGCTGCTACTTAGTGCATCTATGCTGGTGATACACGCCAGGGCTTTATGCGGAAGGCAGCAGCGGAACTAACTGATTCTTTACACCTTGGCCCATGCCCACCTCGTTGAATACGATAAGATTCTCAATGATGACGATCTGAGTGCGAACAGTTTATCGAAGTAATTAATTGAGAAGAGACTCGGGCCGGACAAGTGGCCCATCTACAGTCCGTAAAGTTGAAGCATAAAGTGTAGCTTCGTAAATATTCTCATTCGTTGTTCTGCGAGTATATGCAATCGGCTTGAACCTTTGGTCTATCGAAGTTGTTATCTCTGCCTCGGAAAGGATGCCATCTGAGTGACTTGGCCTGCACTTGTATTTAGCCCAATCTCTCCTTCTACATCCTTAGCTCATCAGCAACTTCCACTTTTATTATATGTGGTGCTACGATCGCGATTGTCTCAATTGAAGACACTTACACTTTCGACTGAAGAAAGTGATCTACTTGCAAGGTCGAAGTTGCATAGGCAACTCGACCCCCTTCTTCACTGGTTCTTCGACCAATTCTAGTTATATTCTCATACCTCCAACAAACTGCGCGGGTGAATGGATCATTCTGTTATGTAACCTGCTGTTTGACCGTTTAACGTTTAACCTTCACAGCTCAACGATTTTTCGCCAAGTTTTACGCCCGGATTTTGCCGATATAGTATTTGTTCCCAAATTGCGATTAATTTGGATAGAATGGTTGTTCGTCTCCAACTCCTTCCACCTTGAGCACCTCAGATGAGCCTTCGGAGGCAGATCCAAGCATCCAATTGTAATTTCCCCCCCTTTTGACGTTCTTTAAGTCTTGCCAAGTTCCAACTTCAATATTTCAATGGCGGAGACTCCAGCACAGCAATTCCTCGACAGCTGACGTGCTTGACCACCGCAAATCCTGTCTAATGCCGAGTCCTCCCTGCCTGCGAACCGCTCGAGTCAGCATTAATCATTTCTCGAGTCTCACGCTCGAGCGCCGAGAGCCGCAAATCTATAAAGAGTCGACCGCGGGACGGAATGTGTAAGCTAGTGTAAACCAGCCCCTCACCCTTCCTGCACCTCTATCAGTCCTCTGACACGAGGACTGTATTCGTCCGAAACATGGTCACAATCAACAGCTTCGCAACGAGTTCTTCTGTTCCCCAAGATGGAGCAGACCCCCAAAAGATTAAGCCACTGTATGTGCACCGTTCTATTTCAATTCGACTAGCGCTAATCATCCAATAGTGATGTGGTATTCGTACAAGACACGACAGGCAGCCAGGGCCCCTATATCACCTCTGCGCGCAGGGCCATTCGCAGCATTTGCGACAGAATCGCAGCGTCCGCAGAGCTGTCGCAGGACCAGATACGCTTCGGCCTCATCGCGTTCCGCGACCACCCTCCCCAGGATACGAGCTATGTCACAAAGGAATTTGGGTTCACCTCCGACATCGAGGTCATGCAGAAGAACCTCGCGAGCCTCATCGCGTCGGGTGGAGGGGACGGTCCCGAGGCACAGACTGCTGCCATTGCTGCAGCGCTCAACCTGAACTGGGCGGAGGGCGCCATCAAGATGGTTATCCTTATCACGGATTCGCCCCCTCACGGTCTTGGAGAGTACGGGGACGGGTTTGACAAGTCGCCAGATCGTATGTCTTGAGACGTCGTGGATAGGATCACAGTTCATTGATTGTAACCCCTTTTCCTAGAGAACGACCCTCTCCAAATTGCGCGCCAGATGGCCGAACACGGTATCACACTGGTAGGTCATACAGCTTCCTTGTCGTGCTCTTCGTCTAATTCTTGGCCCCAGTTCGTCATCGCCTGTGAACCAGCGCTCAGCATGTACAAGCATGCCGTCGACTTCTACTCCGCACTCGCCCAAATCACAAGTGGCCGCATCTTTCCCTTGACCATGGCCGACAAGCTAGGCGACTACATCGTTGGCACCGCCATTGAGACGATCGAAACCGAGAAGCTGATTGGGGAGTTTGAGAAGGTCATCGTGGACGAGGTCTTCGCCAAGGACGCTCCCGTCGCCAGTGTCGTCGACAACCTCCAGGAGTTCATGAAGTCTCGGGGGGTGCAGATCAATTCTGTCGCTTTTGAAGGAGGCTATGCCGAGACGGATACATTCAAGAAGAAGGTGAACATCTGGCACAACTCGAAGACCGTCGGAGTGGCTAGGACGGAAGTAAAAGCATTGGTACGCAATATTCTAGCAATAAACGCGAGGTCTCACCAACAGGCCCTTTGCATTACAGGCTCCAGATGTAGCAGATGAAGAGGATGAAGAAGACGACGAGGATGAGGATATGGGTTTCAGCCTTGTAAGTCACAATAATCGTCTGTCTATCATGTCTGTGGGCTACGGTGCTCATTTTGGCGTCTCTTTGAAGGGCTTGGACGAGGGGTACACCTGGGGCAGGGAGAGAGAGAAGACCACGACCAAGAAGAGGAGCTATGCCCCCAAGGGCCGGGGGTTTGGAGCTGTGGGCGGCGGCTTTAGCATACCAGCTGCTCCCCCTGGTGCATTGTTTGGTGCAGCAGCTACTGGGTCAGCACCAGCGTTCGGAGCGGCGCCTCCACCCCCGCCTGCTCCTGCGCCTAGGGCCCCGGCAATCCAGATGCAACAGCAAGACTTGAGCCGTGCGCAGGTAAGTTACCCATGTTTGCTTGACCCCGATGCCATCCGGCTCATTCGGCTGTTCTGTCCAGACTCGTCGTATCGTGATGCAAAGCATGGCGAGAAACTCCAAAGTTACGGAGGAAGGAATGATCGATCGGGTTACTGGCAAATCTATTGCGACTACAGCATACGACCCGAGTCCTTTGAATGCGGCGAAAGAGTTCCCCCCGTAGCATCTACTAATTCCTGTCGCCGTTGTATGAATAGAGCTCACGGACTCTCCCCTGCCACTAATTAGGTTTTCATCTTCCATGCGCCTGAACGTGCTATTTGATTTCTTCATCATATCGTTGTACCATTATGTAAATATTAATGGCGTTCCGTCCTTATGAATTGCATTGCGCGAACAGTTGGCTTGTACTTCCAACCATGGAATCAATGTCTGCAAGGATGTATACCTCGTAAACTTCACCTGGAAGCAAGAAGAGCGGCACGTACATGAAAAGAAAATTTCAAGAGGAATCATATCAAGTATTCCGAGCGGCGTGGACGTCTTCATGGGTTGACCACCCCAAAGGACGCGAACGAAGTGGCCAGATTGGTGCCTGTACAGTTCGAATACAACCTCAGAGCCCCTATGAAATGTTGAAGTCGTTCCAACTTGTCCAAATCCGTCATCGAAGAACTCACATTCCAGGCCACACCATTTCGTCAACTTGCAGGAAGCCAAGGAGCGGAGATATTGAGCCATCATGGGCAACCTGTGGAGCAAATCGACAATGTAGTTCAGGAAACTCAAAGAGGGGCGTACGTTGTGGAAGTATTTGACCTAGACGAACAGCAGCACGTCATTTCAAGTGTGAATACAAAGCATTTAAGTTGATTTACCTTCGAGGTGCCATCCGCTTTTTCCTGGAGATGGGCTTTCAACTCAAGAAACCAGGCACCATATCTCAATGCTGCATACTGAGCCGATGCAGGCGCGTCGCGGAACTGGTACGAGTATTCCCAATTACCCAGCCGATAGACCGTGTTGGCCTAGAATACAGACCAAGAATATCAACAAGAAAAATAAGGATACAATGATCGTTTGGTCTGACCTGCTCCTGTGTGACACAGCTGGATGTGGCGTTCACGCTACAAGGCAGCCTCTTTCCATGGCACTGTTTTGCGCTGAAGTTATCAAAGTAACTAGATATCAAATATCAAATATGACAACGAGTTACTTTCTGTTGGGACGAAAACGTACTGATCGAAGCTAGTATGCCATCCTGCCGTATCAGAACTTGCAATGCCAGACACCGCGTCGAGCTGTGCATAAAGAGAGGCAGCTTGAGTCAAGTGAGATTTCCACAACTGGCCAGAGCTTCCTGTCGTGTAGCCCGAGCGAATGTTCGAGGCTCTGTTGCACGAGTATCTCGGTTCGAGGGAATCGAATGTAGACGACTGGATGAGTGCCACCAGAGGTTGGTATCGAGAGGTGGGGAAGAGACCTGCGAGAAGACCGGAGGCAACTTGTGAAGTTATCACGTTGTTGGTTACACCTGTAGCCAATTTACGATGTCATAAATTATTAGGAAGGAGAATCTTGAGTATGAGGAACGTACGAATTTTGACGGTATCTGAATCTAGACGTCTCGCAAGCCTGAGTCGGGACGCATACACCTCACGGATGTCCTATATGGATTCTGAGGATAACTTCTGGATACCAAGAAGAGGAGGCTTACTGCGCCATGGGTAATGGAATCTTGTAGACCCTCGTTTGTTATCTGGGGAAATTGGCAACTACTCTGCCGTAAGGGCGCGTCAAATAGAAATTTAAAGGAACATACGTGCTTCCAATAAAGCCAGGGCCAACAGTTGTCGTCCAAGGATTGGTCTCATCCGTGAAAGCTTGCCACTTCGGTCGACATCAGCCGCCACGATTCAGCCTGGAAGTCAGAATATTCAACTTACCTGTACGGGAGAGACGTCTGATCCTCCTCGTGTTGTTCTATAAGAAGTCTCAGAGGGAAATCGTAGCATATATGCTTAACTTCATCACCTCGTCGACCCGAATGTTGGTCCAGAACCGACGCACGACCATTCAACATCTTCCTTGAAGAACGTATTTGAGGAATAGGGGGTTCGTTTATGGTGTCGTTGGATAACCTCCACATACTGGAGCGTGAAGTTCTTGTGCGGCATTCTTCCAAGCAGCGGAAATTCAGAGTGCACTTCTACTTGACATATATGCCGAAGGACACGCACTTGTATTCTCGTTGCCTGACGTGCGGCATATTGCACCAATTGTAGACTCCATATTGCGAATCAGGTGTAGTCGACGAGTCGAAAATTCCAGGAGCTCCAGAGCCGAAGAGCGCAAAAGTGAGATTGTTGATATTCGTCGATGCTGGAGGATAGTGGATAGGATCGCTCGACGCGATTTCTACGGCTGCAAGGAGCAACACAAGAGACAGCATGGCAGGAGAATACTGGGTGATGGTAGTTCGAATGAGGGAGTCCTTCGGACTCAAAGAAAGTAAGACTCCGAAGTTGCTGATTTTAGGTGTACATTCCCGACCATTATCGAATGGGCTTAGCGTGGGTCTAACCCGCTGGCCATGATGGAGAAGAAACGTGTGTCTCCTGACTGTCCGGTTAGCAGCAGAAGAGCATAGGGTCTATCGGCAAAAGTCTCCTTGGAAGTTCGAAGTTGCGAACACCACAAGGTCTATTCTTACCTTTCATCTGGGGTCGGCAGATGATTGACAGCCGCGTGAGCGGGTTCGCGATCGATGTCAAGCAGGAGTATATGCATCAGATATGTAACACCGACGGTAAATAACGGCCAGACCATGTCATAGAGCCGCATCGTGAATGTCCAGGTGTAAGGGAGAAGCGGAAAAATCCGGCCAGCGTGCAGACTTGACGCGGACCGTTCCGGGTGGTGTCGACGCATGCTTGCCAAATCCACATCTCACCAACGTTCGTGACGATGCTCGAAGGTGCGTCTGGCCTTGCCGTAATACCCGACTAGTAGCACGAGCCACGAGGCGCGTTCTCAACCCAAGACCTCGAACTGAACCCAGCGTCCGGGACACTTCAGAAAGCCTCCACACCGCGATGCTTTACCGCCATCCGGTATTCGCAGCTTTGGGCTCTTTCATAGCGGTGGCTTGGGCAATTCCCGCTGCCCCGACCCAATCGTACCTTGGTCGACAGGCATTGGCGGATATCTTGTCAAGAGCGGCTCCTATCGCGGGTGAGTACTTGAGTAGTTGTTGGACTCTGCGATGAAAACACCTCTAAACGTGATCCAGGGATTGACGAAGGCTGCTCCAAGAAGGCAAAGACGTGCGATTGGATGGCCAGGTTCCCCGACAGTACGAAGTTGGTGCACATGAACTTACCTGGCACGCATGATACTTCGACCTGTACGCATTTTTGAGCCGAGGCCCGTCTACGTTTTCTCATAAACATCTTGCCAGGGAACTACTCCGACGCTACCCAGGCCTCCCTTATCCGTTACACTGGGAAGTAAGACAACTCGATTCTCTCCTTTGATGAAGAGTGACCCGAGGTCCAGCATCCCACCCCCGAGCGTCTATCGTTGTCAGGAGCACTCCATTCTCCATTCTCTCAACGAAGGAATCCGTGTTTTCGACCTTCGTTTTGCCTATAATCCTGGAAATGACACCATTGGGTTCTGGCATTGTACGTCGCCCGAAAATAGTACTGCCCACTGCTCCGTGACCCAACATTGACTCTATCCCCTACCTGCCTTTTGAGCATGGAGTTCATTCGACTGCGGACTGTCCACGATATCATGTTATGGTCCGTGCGCATATTCTGAGACATTTGGTCCTCTCATTGGATATCTCACTCGGTGATGTATTCTCCTCATTCGAAGCATCTATGACGGTGATGATTTGCCTCTAGCTATCGCTACTCAAGAACCGACTCTCACCGGCGACAAATCAGTCGTTCAGCACAAATCCCGCATCGCCCACGCTTATTCACATTCCGATGGCGCAAACCAACTATCATCGTATCCTCCTGTCCGTCTATCGGACTCTATCCTCGCCTATGATACTTCTCGTCCACCATGTGGATGCCCTGTAGGTCGTCAGTCACCACCTCGACCCCATTCGCCTTTCGCACTTGTTCGGGGCCGCCGTTGTGTCCACATCTAAGACATAACGGTACCAACCCTATCCCTGCGTGAACCCCGCTCATCGTGGATGGTGACGACTGACAGAGGCCCTAACACCACCTCTTTGGAGCCCATGGACACAGGGTCCGTTGACGATACCTAGCGACGCGCTCTTTTCTGCGCGACGCCTTCCCCCATGACGTCATGCAGCACCCCGCGGAGGCTTCAAGCCCCCCACACGATAAGCACCGCTCACCGCCGTCGAACCTCAATATGCCAATAAGTTGCATGATCCATGTGCGCCTCCAGCCAGCCCACCCCTTACCGAAGTACACAACTATCCCGACAATTACAGTCCATATCAGCTTACCTCGCACATCTGCGTCGAAAATCCCAGGGTACGTTGACGTCTACCCAGCGACGACCCTGGGCACCGCAATTCCGACCTCCCTCATCCCGTCATACAACCTCTTCCAGCCAAGTCGAACAGTACATAACGCTACACACTCGACCGCGGTCCCCGCTTGCAGAAAGCAGCCTGAGCAAGTGAGGGCGATTACCTACGGTCAACATCAACAGCCATCTTGTCATCACCTACCTCGACATCTCGATGCGTGGCTCGCCAATGTGTCACCTGCCCCGTCGCCTGCCCTGGCGTCACTCGTACCGGGGCCACCAGCCATCCATTCGAAGCCTCGCGCGTGCATTTGTCATTCGACTACTCACTCTTGACGGCAACACTGACCGCTACATCGCCACTGGACATTTGTACTTACTTCTATCCCTTGTCCTTCACTGTACATCACTTTGACCGTTGTTGTGTGTACTCCCCTTCCATTGTCCCGCAGATCCTTAGAGGGTCCAGGCGGTGTAATTATATTATATTATATTATATTCACTGTTCTCAGCTCGAGCTCTCTTGAGTCCTACGACACGAATGGAAGACCTATTTTTCGCCTTGTACACCTGGCTTGATAAACATCCTACTGAAGCCGTGCTTCTCTCGATGAACCACGAAGGAGGAACGGGCACGCCAGATGACTCGCTGCTTTACGAGAAGCTGTACAGCATCCTGAACACTCCGGTGGCCCAGAGGTATTGGGCACGAACCAACGGAACGGTATGTGTCTACGTTTTCCCTTTTTTTCTTTCTTTATCTGTCATATGTTAAGAAATTCGCAGCTTGGGACTCTGAGAGAGGCGCGCGGCAAGTTGACGCTTCTCCAACGCTGGAGCTACAATCTCCTACCCAGTCATCTCACGAAACGATTTGGCATCCCTCTCGACCCTGGCCACTGGACGGACTTGCAATGGCAAAGCGATCGAGCTTGTTTATAATGTTGCAAAGTCGCAAGTGGCTTATATCGAGGTACGGATTTGCAACTCCTTTTAAGTCTTGCTTGGGCTCGAATCCACCTTATATCCACCAGGACTTCTATGCTATCGGCGCCGATCTCCCGCTAGGATCTGGGACAAACGCGTACATCGACGCCAAGTTCGCGGCAACAACAGCACACCTTACGAATGCGACTGAGCTTCATCCCGATCAGCTATACATCTGCTTCGCGAGTGCAGCTTTTATCGACGATAGCCCTTCTATGACCCCCGAGGTCTGTCCATCCAAATCACTTGCGGCTTTGGTAACATATTGAGTGCTTGTGCAGATCTTCGCTCTCGGGAATGGAACGAGTGTGCCTGGAATGAACCAGAGGCTTTTGCCTTGGTTGCAGCAGAGGAAGGGGAAACGGTTTGGGATCATTAGTATGTTGTTCCTCCTGCCCGTCCTCGACTTTTTGCTAAATTTCTGGGTAGTGCTCGACTTCTACAACGGGGTGCCAGGGCTTGTTGAGGCTGCCATCGGTCTTTGACCAGGCGTTTAAATAATAGTCTGGTTCATGTGCTCTATTCAAGGGACAGTCTTCAAATGCTTGACACGACCCTCCGCCCTATGATGGCTTCTATCAACCCCGGAACGGCGTCATAAAAATCGAGAACTAATGATACATGAAGCTGGTTGGTCGGCAACTGACTGGAGGAGAAAAACGCACAGACGATGCCGAATCTCTTCCCTTGGCGTTCCGTGAGCCAATTGAGCAGCCTTTCGTTAATCCCTTTCATTTTCGCGTTATCTTCCTCTGATCCCAGTGCGTATGTCTGCGGTCGAATATCGAACCAACGAACTGCAGGACAACTACAGGATCCCACCTTCTCCCGATTTGAACCCCGGCTGGTGCATTGACGAAAAGTTTAGAGTGACCGTAAAACATCTTGAGGACGCCATGAACCCTGATCAGCATCCAGACCAACTATACATTAGCTTCGCAAGTGCAGCTTTTCGGACTGAGGAGATTTCCTTGGTACCACGCGTATGGGATGTTTGCATGGAAACTTCTCCCGCTGGCTGACGATACTCCGTCTGAGCGTACCTGGATATAGGCGATGTGGTTTTCCTCTTCGTTGTAAATAATTTTGGTCGATTTTCCGTTGACCGTCCACTGGCGAGGATCGAGGTGTATCCCAATTCGTTCGGTTAGGTGAGCGGAAAGGAGGTCGAAGTCGAAACGTTGAAGGAGAGTGAGCTTGCTTCGCGCTTCGCCCAGGGTTCCAAGCTTCAGGAAAATTAAGGGCGCCACTTCTAATGCTCGTTGACTGGGGAAGAACTTGCCTTTCCTCTCGTCTGAAGCCAGTACCTCTTCGCGAGTGGGCCAGTGAGGATGCGATATAATGCCTCTTGCAGCTTTGCATCGTTTGATCTACCTTCTGCGGGCTCATAGTTCAACGATACCAGAATGGTCTCTGTTGGATGCCTTTCCAGCCAGGTGTAGAACCCGAAGAAGACATCCTCCATCCTCGTCGTTGGGGCGAGGAGTGCCTGGGCTGGATAAATTCATTCTTGATCAACTCCGGAGGGGTTTCTGCCTACCATGATAAAATCCAATTGTATCCATACCAGGATTCCAGGCATGGCGAAGGTCAAAGACACGGATTCCCTCATTGAGCATCTGGAATAACGAATGCTGTTGACAACGGAATATGGTCGAGTCCGGGATCCTGCCGATTAAATAAGTAGGACAATAAGTTATAATCCGCGCTCTCCGTGCTAAGAAATTAAGAGGGCTTACGGGCCAGTGTAGTGCTCCAGAGACTTTTGAACTTCGGGCGTATAGTTCCCTGGTGGATGAAAAAGGCCCTGAATCGGCCTTATCTTAACAAGAGCTACGGAAAGCGATTGTACCCACAAGTGCAGGCATCATGAGTCCCAGGCAGCTTTATATGAATCAACTTGATTTTTTCCGGTAACTGGGACATCCAATCGCTCAACGGAGTAGTTTGGAGTAGGTCATCCAATGATCCTATTGATAAGAGTTAGATGACTGACGGTCGGTGTTTGGGCCCATAGAGTTCTAGCTTGCCGAGGATAGGAGCTCCTCTGTCCAGTATTTCATACAGCGCTTCGTCTGAAAGCGAAGAGCGCTGGGTATTCGCCTCCTCTCTAGTTTTGGAGGTGCACACTGTTTCGGAACTTGAAGGAACACTACGGATTGTTGAAGCTATGCAATTCTAAGAAGGGTCTATGAGGTATCAGTAAATGAAGTAAACTCGTGGAGGCGTTCCTTACTTAGGTATTTTAGTTTTTTTTTTTTTTTTTACTTCACCTGATCAGTGTGGTCGCTGAAAATGTGGTACAGACGCAAGCTTATTTCTGACGGTCCCGTCAGCATGTTCCCACGCATGTTTGTAGCTTCAGGGTCCAACGCCACCGAAACACTTCTCATCCTTTCCACCATTGATCATGAATGCAAGAAGCTTCCAAGCACAGTTAACACATGACGTTCGAATTCGCCTATGTTCGATGTTATCCGTTCATGCAGTTTGAATTTAGTAGACGCTCGTCACTAGTACTGTTTGGATCGTGCGGATCAGGAAGAGCCATTTTATGCGGCGCAGACTTGGATCCAGAATTGACAAAACCTTCCTTCAAGAGGAGGATGCCCACAAGCGCAGTGTGCCTATGTCCAGCTCCGAGTGAAAGAGGAGAATGAATGTCCTGGTCGCAAACCTTGAACACACTTCGTCCAGCAGGCTCTCAGAACTGAGCAGAAGCCTTCCACGCAAATACACAGCGTCCAGCGCGTAGGATCAAGAACCAACTCGACATACTCATCTCTACCACGGGCTCCCAAGCAGTGCTGGGCCCGCGTGCGGAGGAGAAAACCTCTTCGAGAGTGTTGTCAATGGCGTCCAAGAGCCCGAATTCTGCTTTCAGAGAGCAGATTACCCCACGATGAGTTCGTGGTTATTAAGCAGGACGCGGGGTTAACGGACTCTGCACTGTATGAGAGGTGGGCGAACATTCTGCGTGCGGCATTCCCTGCTGCTACCTGAGGATCAAGGGTGTCGAACGACGTTGGTGATGACAGGCGCGTTGGTGAGAAGGACGAATTATGAGCCATAGCTAAAAGGCGAAATAAAATAAAAATATTGGCAATTGCTCTCCTTACAGCTTGTGTTTAATCTCCTTCTTGGCGATCCTCCCGAACTGAACCATGGGCACACCACTAGCGAACCTCTCCGCCTGAGCTGCAGATTCCAGGTCATTATTACCAGGTCCACCGAAAAAATCAAGCATTTTAACTCACCATAACTCTCGCGCATGTTCACGGCATCAGGGTCGTTCTTCTCATGGAGGCCTTGGCGAATGAGCTTCCGCATTACCAGGATGGCCTTGGGGTCCAGACCCGACAGTTCTTCGAGAGGTGATAATATACATCCGCGTGGAAGGAAGGTGTGTCGGGAGAAGAGAAAAGTTTGCTGAGAAGAAAGAAGTTCTGGTGAGCTGAAGTCTTGTGCGCTTGAAAGAGGTGACTTTACTTGATGAAACCACACTCGAGCAGCTCATCGGCTGTTTTCTTCTTTCCCCAGATGAGGACCTCGTTCGCCACACCAACACCCACTAAAGCGGATGCATCAGTCTTCACTGAATAAACTTGAGAAGATCTGGGTACGTACTTCGATTCACAAAGCTGACGCTTGCGCCTCCCTCAGCGACAATACCTAGGAAAGTAAATGGGACCGCAAGCCAGACAGTGGGAAGAGCGTAGATGAAGTCGAAGTAGCCAAGGAAGGCTGCGCGGTGTCAGGTGAGATGGATAATGCTCTCTGTGCTTTGGCAATTTACCTGCGGTAATACCTGGAAAACAATGAACATTAACGGACGAAGTGAGCACTCAAACATAAAGCTCACCAAGAACTGGTCCGTTGAGTGCGGCGACAAGAATTTTGCTGTGTGAATAGAGCTGAATAACGCGAGTAGTATACTAGTCAGTGAAACTCCTGCGACAAAAGCAAGAGTTCACTCACCGCCTTCCCGCAATCCATCGTCGTACTCACAACGCCCTTCCTCAACGCATTCCGAACATTTCCAATCGTATCTGCGTCGTTCAGATTCGAGCCTCTGACATCTGTTCCTCTGATTCACGTTCAGAAGCGTCCTTTGACGTCAGAATTTCGTGACGCACGCGCAGAACCAATGCCCCGTTGCTAAGAACGAACTGGTGTGAATTCTTCTGAGCGGTGGTCGACGAACACCAGCGCTCACCTTGCCACACGGTCACTAGGACATCATCTCTGGTGTCTATCTCCCTCAACGCGTTCGCGAAGGCGTCATAGTCTAGCTCTCCCTAGTAAGAGCCAGTTCTAATTCAAGAAGAGCTCGTGGAACCATGCCTTCAGCTGTAACCGCGTTCAGCGTCTTCGGCCGGTTGAGCGTGATGGTGGCAATGCCTTCAGATACCTTGACGATCAGAGTGGAAGACATATCGACGAACGGTAGAAGTGGGGAAGGTGGAAGGTGGACATGCACAGAAGTGCTGCTTTATGTATGTCGGGTGTCGGCACCCCTGATGTGGGGAAGATTGAGCGGGGAAACCGGTCTTGGCGCCGGCCCGGCATCTTTGGTGACCGGAAAACATACAGGAGCGCCCGACTCTGGGCGCTAGACGCTAGAGTCTTCGGCTCGTAACTCGTTTCGATTTCGGCAAGGGCCATACTAAGAGGCCAGGTCTGCCACCAAATAAGTAAATAAGTACCAAACTGGTCCATCCCCGGGGTTTCTGTCCGAACTGTAACATGTAACAGCTACTCTAACATCCCACCTTGATCACCAAGTGTGAGCTAGATTGATACTCCCAAATTCCTCACCAGATATATCGAATTCGGAATCCTAATTTAATCCAACCAAATGGCATGACTTGCACCCTGTATCCTCTCCTCTCCTTGCCTACCTTCATCACCAGTAGATGGCCACTCAGCAGCAACCTTGACCCCACCGGTCCCCCACCCATCCCACTCAAGCACACGTACAGCGCCAACACCATCTAGTGAAGCCGTAGTATCATCATCGTCAGTCAGGACAATCCAGTAGCCATTCCCATCGGCCTCAGAAAACGCAGCGTCCTTGGGCCGGATATTGATCGCGTTGGCCTTACCACCCGACGTGGGCGTCTCAAAGCGTTCAACATTATCGTCTCTGAAGTGGCCTTCATCGTCTAGTGAGAATATGCTAAGCCATCCGCGGGTGCTCGAACCCGATCCGCGTGTGGTCGCGACCAAGGCCGAGGGGATCGGGCGGAGAGGGGTGGGTGGCAGGAGCATCAGGGTGTCGCCCCGGAAGCGGTGCGAGGACTCGCCTGAAGAGAGGTTTTGAGGGAGCAGAGAGCGAGAGGAGAGGTATTCGAGGGTGGAAGGTAGGATGCGATAGGCGTCGACCAAGTTGTCTGGGGAGAATTAATGAATGGGAGTCCTGGGTTGTAAGGAGTGTTGCACTTACTGTGCTCAGTGACGCAGTATAGGATCTTGCCGTTGGGGTGTATCTTGACGTGCCGAGGACCATCCTTCGCGTCTAACCCCCTTGGAGAGCCGACGGACGCGATATGTGTGAGGTGGCCAGTCGCAGATTCGTGCTTATACACCTCAATCGAATTGCTCCCTAGCACAGGTATGAAAGCATGTTCCAACGATGGAGTGAACTCGACGGCGTGAGACCCGTACCGCTATAGCACGATTGGTCAGACGTGGATGTTTGCAATTTCGGATACGTACTAAAGCCACTCTTGTCTTGTCCGCGGTCGGCAGGTCCTCTTTCGCCACGAAGAGTATCTCTTGCACCTTCTCCCCAAATCCACCTGTTTCTGGGTTTATTCGATGGACTTCTCCCGTCGGTCCTCCCGCAGAATAAATGTGTGTGAACGGTGGTGGGACCGTTATATACGACGACGTTGCAGCTAGCGTGCAGTTCAGCCGCATATCAACCTTTAACTTTCGATGAAGTGCTCACTGATATCAGTAGCGTCGATTGGACTGATCCTCCAAGGGTCTGAACGTTCGACCTGCCAACTGGAGAGCTTGGGAGGGAGTGCCCAGCTCGTCGCGTACACCCTGTCCTTGAGTCCATTGGTTGCAAGATATTGATGAGGTCCGAATGCTGGAATGGTTTGCAGATGGGATAGCGACCGTTTCACCGGTGAGAAGGCGAGCAGGAAGAGGGATATTGAGCGGAACGAGCCCGAGAGGATGTGGTAGACGGGATCGGTGACGTGGGTGTCGTTCAGTGGAACGCTTTGGACGTCCATCTGCAACCTGAGAATGGCGTCAATGTTGGAGGTTGCAATTGGGAAACAAAATGGCGGACCGCCTGACCAGGAGGCTAAACAGTTCACCCAAACTCCCGATGCACGTTATCACACCAAGCCAGCACCTGGGAGCACTTCCTAGCAGTTTAGTGGACACTATAGCTCTGGACCGCACCTTAACAGTGATGTACTGTTGGCTAGAGATGTCTAGGTCCTTGCCATAGACATCGTTGGTCTCAGGACAGTGTCCTCGAGGAGCGGCACTGTCAAGGATCCTAACCTTATTTTAGGTGCACCGCCCGATCCCTTCGGTCGGGTCTTCTCCAGCGATCCTATAATTTCTCAGCTATATCTCAGCACCATGGAAGCCCCAACGCTTTCCGTAACCGACCTTCACCTTCTCTTACCCGACCGACGACGATAGCAGAGCCCCTTCTTTTCATCTCTCAGGAATATGCGCAGCAGACAAGCTCTGAACGTCCTCTTTGCATTGCTGACCGCGGGGGAGTCGTGGGCCCACCGGCACCCAAAGACGGAACATGAGGTCGAGGTGCAGAGGTCGCTGCAGGCAGCCGCGTATCATGTCCGTGTTCTCTACTCGTGTCTCCATCGCTTCCCGAAACTCACAGCTCTCATACTTGCAGTGTGCGCCAGCTGTCGAGTCCTTCACCGCAGCCCGGAAGCTCGCCTTTGCCCAACGAGCACTCGCCGGGAATCCAAGCCTCCCAGGATACCAACACCTCTTCTCAGCGGAGACGTACCGTGACCTCCCAGAGGCTCCGCACAACGAGAATTCGGATGAGATAGGGGACGACGAAACGTTCATGAAATGCATGCCGATATCCGATACGCACATCCAGAACAACACTTGCGTGCTGGCACCTGAGGTCACAGAGGGGCCGTACTATCATACCGAGGGTCATCCGATACGGCAGAACATCGCGGAATGGCAGGATGGGCTGCTCCTCGTACGTCTTACACAGTCCTCGTGATGACTCCTGGTGACCCAGCTGAATGTGCCTAGCTTCTGGACATCGGTGTTATCGATGTTGAGACATGCAAGCCTCTGCCAAATGTTTTGGTTGATATCTGGCAAGCCAATGCGACTGGCTCCTATGCTGGCAAGTTTTCCGTTTTGACAGAATACAAGTGTCGCTCAAACCCGCGTTCTATAAATAGGACACCCAGTCCCAGCCCCTCATCTGCAAGACGAGAAACCAGCCTCTGAAGGTCGTCGGAAGGGCTTGCTATCAGCCTTCCCGCGTACGCAAACGCAGGAGACATGGCTTCGAGGTGCTTGGCCTACGGACAAGAATGGCGTCGTTCAGTTCACATGTACGTCTGCCTTCTCTCTTATACCGAGCGGCTAATCCCCCCACCTTCAGCCATCTTCCCGGGCACTCCACCCGCTAGCCCTGGACCCCTATCCCCGAGAACAACACCTTCACCGCCGGCCGCCTAGCGCACGTCGGCCAATTCTTCTTCGAGGAGGAGTTGAACATGGTCATCGACAAGATGTATCCCTATATCACGAACCCGATCAAGGACACCATTGGGCGCACTCGCAACTCGGTGGACTCATTGAATATTTTCCAGGACAGCCATGGGCCGGAGGGGATGTATAATCCCATCTTCAAGGTCCATATGCTTGGGGGCGTGCTGTCACAAGGCCTCATTGGATACATTACGATGGTAAGCTCGGACCATCGTCTTTCCTGGACATACAGAGTTAACACATCTCATCAGGGCGTTAACGCCAGTGCGACGTACGACAACTTCTGGAAGGGTTGAATTATGAGATATGTACGAGGCGATCGAGCAATGTTTTCGGGACTATAAACCCATTCATGTACCACCTTGCAATACGGAATGTCACGAACCTGCCAAAAGAACTCACGTTGTGAGGAGTTTTCACCTGCATGCCCACCTCTTCACGCACGCTCGTCAGCTGAAGAAAGCCAAAAAGAATGACCGAGACAGGGGTCGAACCTGCAATCTCCTGATTCGCACTGAGTCGTAGTCAGACGCGATGCCATTTCGCCACACGGCCATGTTCTAAAATTCGATATTAATGTGTCTATCGCCGTCATTATTTAAAGTATCGCTACTTACGTAACGCACGTTCTCTTTTCTCCACCATGTCTCTGGTTAATTTTTAGGAAGAACACACCTTACCGGACCCTCCAACACTCTCCCTCAAAGTCAAGCCCCGGACATGTCATCAGCGTGCTGAAGTACGCCCACATAAAGTTTAAGCTGCATAGACACCTCATCTGCGAAAATGTCCGGTGTTTTGCACGACAACGGAGAATACCAGCAATTTCGCGGGTCATCAGGTACTCTGTTCAAGACGCCCCAGATGGTTGAAGGACTGAAAGACTCGCAAGGGAGCAAAGAAGGACCAGGTACTTATTTCACCGTCTATTCCAAGTTTCTTTATATTTATCGCCGGTCCTGCGTATCATAAACAGAAGTATTTCTTCTGTCCGAAAGCCCCGGTTCAATGCTTCTATACGGTTTTCCCATTGAAAGATATCTTGTCAACGGTTGATTGCATCTGTCGTCAGCTATACTTTTCAAGAATGTTGAAACGTCAGATGGTCGGCGAGTTCTCTCTTCGGGCGCTGGGGAGAAGTAGCGCATAAACAGCCCTCATCTGCACCATCTACACCAGCCCGTCGCTTCCATGGCCTTTTACAGAGAGAAGATTGTGCTGAACCCAAGCCCCGACTTTCCTCTCTACGTCATTGCTGCCCGTTACTCGCTCGGCTCTAGCACATCCTCGTCACCCGATGCATACACTCTGATCTGTACGCATGCAATTGGGTCTCACAAAGAGTCATGGGAGGCGACAGCACGCAACTTGTTGAGGAACAGACACTCCTCTGAGCCTCGCATTTGGGACATATACTCAATCGAGTGTCCGAACCATGGTGAATCGGCGTTGTACAACGCGAAGCAGTTGCAAGACGCCAAGGAGCCATGTGAGTCCTCGTCGAGTGTAATTGAGGCTTGCTGGCCGACCGTTTCTCCAGGGAGCATCCGGGTGTATACGCAAGCAATTCATAGATTTCTTACCGCTGGGCCATTGGAAGGAGCGAAGGTCGACTTTTCGAAGCGGAGACTAGTTGCTGTCGGACATTGTCTAGGTGCTATTGCTTTGTGAGTCTTGACTCTTCTTACATCCTGCACTCTATCGATTATCTGAGATGCTTGACAGCTCTTTCCTACATGAGATTAAACCTCAGATCCGATTCCAGACACTCATTGCCTTTGAACCAAATTTCTCTTCAGGTCCAGACGATGAAGACTATCTAACCCATTTCAAAAAGTTCGCCACTCTCATATGGTTTCAGCGTAATGTCTGGCCGAGTCGCAAGGCTGCATCGAGAGATCTATCCAAAACCCCCCCGTTCCGCAGCTGGGACACGAGGATGTTGGATCTTTTTGTGGTTAGTATACACACGCCTACTCTTCCTTAATGCGAACCCTACAGGTGTTATTATTGTATAGGAACACGCTATGTGTGACCACCCAGCATCCAAATTCCAAGAACCACACAAATTCTCTGGCGTGCAAATCATGACGCCGAAGGAGCAGGAGGCAGTTGAGTAGCCTCTGACGACGTCCGCCCAGGCATAGTAACACGCAGTTTAGGCAACCTATCGAAGTCCAGAGTTTATCCAAGAGCCTCGGAGAGCTTTTACAACAACGGCGTTGCAGTATCCCCTTCACTTGATCTGGGGATCACTAGAGGACGTTTTGTACGTTCCGATGGCTCTCGTCCATTTCGTAGCTGACGCCCTAGCGTCTACAGCCCAAGTCGCGTGAAGGACTACGTTACGAATAACGTGCCATCTGCATCTGTGGAGATCGTTCATGGTGTCGGTCATCTGGTTTGTCTCCGCCCGTCCGTTCTCTTATCGAGAAGACTGAACTATGAACAGATCGTTCAACAAGCACCAGACTTAGTGGCTGAGAAGATTCGAGAACGCTTGGACCCACCTAGAGTCATGAAGGCAGCGCTATAGTTGGTTGGATACTAGATCATTTGGTACGCTCGGGATGTATCCGTTATCGCGAGTATATTTTGGGCACAGACGAACTCTTGAGGTTCTGTTGTCAGAGTTCCCAGGTAAGTCGGCTTCCATACCTCGTTGTTTTCGGCGTTGCAACTCAGCAAGAGCCTGCCAGATGGGATCCATGCGCCGATGGTTCTCTCTCATCATCATCAGTATCGAAGGTAATCTCAGAGGACAAATCAGCAGTGCTCAAATCTGTCCATCACTTCCGAAAGCGCAACCAGGCATTAGACATGATTTCCACAAGCTTCAACACTTGATGTGTTCGAGCAACGATGGGTCGCCTCACTACACTACAAATTCGGATTCAGCAATCACATCACCCTGAGCACCGAGGGGATGACTGTAAGATCGCCGTCTGTCTTCTTGGTGCTTCGAAGATCTCACGTCTCTCTGTCAGTACAAGTGATGCTAGTCTAGCATAAACCTTGAGCTTACATTTGAAACTTGCCTTTTCATCGTAAGGTTCGAATCAGAACTTCAGTCAGTACAAATGTGGCCGCCCAACGACGTGCTACTTATGCCCCTGTCACTCCCATCATCCTCACTCAACTCGAACCTCTCCCTTCATTATTGAAAAATGACACAGAACGCGATGTTCTCCGATATAGTCTTTTCGACGATTTCCAATCCGCTCACAGCACCTCTCTCCAAAAATCTCGATCTCAGTCCAACAGAGCGAGCAGCTGAACGTTTTTCGATCAAGGGAAATGCCATTGGTCAGTGAATAATTTATTCTAAGCAATTATCTAACCTGAGCTGCATGGATCTAGTTACCGGAGGCGTTGGTGGTATCGGAATCGAAGCATGCCGCGCCCTCCTGGAGCATGGTTTACAGGGCCTCTCTATCTTTGATCTGGCGTCGCGGTACGCCAGTGAAGAGGCGCAAGTGGTCATCGCCTCGTTCGAGAAAGATTTTCCGTTGGCCAAAATAATCAAGCACAGCGTCGATGTTACGGATGAAGAGAACGTCCAAAGCGCGACGGAGGAAACGATCCAGGCTCTTGGGAGCGTCGACATTCTACTCTGCTTTGCAGGCATTGACCACGCTTGCCCGGCAGAAAACATGGCATTGGAAATGTTCCAGAAAACTCTGAACGTGAACGTCACAGGAAGTTTCTTAGCTGCGAAACATGTGGGCAAGTAAGCTGATATTGCGTTGCGTCAAATACACCATATACATATTGACGTTGCTCACTTTCGCGTTGACAGGCAGATGATCAAGCAAGGGACAGGAGGGAGCATCGTCTTTACAGCGTCAACCGCTGGTCATAGGATAGCCTATCCTGTTCCGCAGACAGTGTACAATATCTCGAAGGGAGGAATCCTACAGCTCAAAAGCTCCCTTGCAGCGGAGTGGGCACAATATGGGATTCGCGTGAATAGCATCAGCCCCGGTGGCATCGAGACGAATTTGTCGCGCCAGCCAGCTGTGCAGAGCGCAGTGCAAGCTTGGGTGAAGAGATGCCCTTTGGGACGAATGGGTCAGCCAGATGAATTGACAGGACCCGTCATCATGCTCTGCAGCCCTGCGGGGCGTTATATTACTGGAACTGATATTCTGGTTGATGGTGAGTCTTTGATCATATTGGGCGAGAAGGCTGCTAATATGTTACATAGGTGGTGGACTTGTCTACTGATATTTCAACCATTTCGCTATGAAATCCATCAGCTGTCGAAGAGCTTCATTAAAACTTGTAGGAATATTTTCTTGGAACTACGTCAGACTTGGTGCCTCTTCAGGAACCAAGGAAAAGAATATCACTGTCTTGAAGAACACAACCGCTCGTGATGCATACGGCGTCGGCACCGGACGTAGTTCCTCAGAAGACACAATATTTAAGTTTTTATTTGGTGCGCTTGGACATAGAAAACATCGCAAGTCCATCGTCGGCATGGATGGGCTCAAGAATAAGGCCTTTTTACTGAGACGCCGTAGCGGGATTTCTCGTGGCAAGTTGCTTTCGATGCCTCTGGTCAGCCACGTTATTAACGTTCCAACCTTCAGAGACTCGGCAAGCTTACTGGCAGAAGAGGCAAGGATCTTCTTTCCTATGGCTAAAATAGAACCTGGTCCTCAGAGTCTCGCCGTGATAGCCCTGCGTAGGATCGGCGGGTGCTCCTTTACCGAGAATGAGTGGAAGATCCCACGAGGATCCGTCGGTACAGTCAAGTGACGCTGCCGATATCTAGAGTTCGAATTCGAGGCTTGACTATTCAGAGTCAGACTCACAATTGAAATTCAGTCGATATAAACGCGGCCGCCGTCCGCCGTACTGTCTCCCTGTTACTTCCACCAGCTGCGCCCAGCTTGTATCCTCGATAAAGATGACACAGAATGCAGCGTTCTCTGATATCGTCTTTTCAACCGCTTCCAATCCGCTCACAGCTCCTCTCCTTAAAAATCCTGATCTTAGTCCAACAGAGCGGGCAGTAGAGCGCTTTTCGGTCCGAGGTAATGCTATTGGTAAGTCTGTTCTGATTGACCCGACCTTTCTTCACTGTCTAACCAGAGGTGCATCGATCTAATAGTTACTGGAGGCGTTGGCGGTATCGGAATGGAAGCATGCCGCGCCCTCCTAGAGCATGGCTTACAAGGCCTCTCTATCTTCGATCTAGCGTCACGATACTCAAGTGAAGAGGCGCAAGCGGCCATTGCCTCGTTCGAGAAAGAATTTCCGTCTGCCAAGATAATTAAGCATGTTGTCGACGTCACGGATGAAGACAACGTCCAAAGCGCGGTCGAAGAGACCGTTCAAACTCTCGGCAGCGTCGACATTCTACTCTGTTTTGCCGGCATTGGTCAGGCTTGCTCGGCGGAAAATATGTCGCTGGAAATGTTCCAGCAAACTCTGAACGTGAACGCGACAGGAAGTTTCCTAGCTGCAAAACATGTGGGCAAGTAAGCTGCTATTGCGTTGCTTCACGGACGCCATATGACGTCGTTTGTCTTTGCGTTAACAGGCAGATGATCAAGCAAGGGACAGGAGGGAGCATCGTCTTTGCAGCGTCAATCGCGGCGCACAGGATCATCTACCCGGTACCTCAAGCAGCCTACAACATCTCGAAGGGAGGGATTCTACAACTCAAAAGCTCCCTTGCAGCGGAATGGGCACAATATGGGATTCGAGTGAACAGCATCAGTCCCGGTTTTTTCGAAACGATCATGACACGCCAGCCTGGTGCCCAGAGTGGGGTCAAGGCTTGGGAACAGAGATGCCCATTAGGACGGATGGGCCAGCCAGATGAACTGACAGGACCGATCGTCATGTTCTGCAGTCCTGCGGGGCGTTTCATTACGGGAACTGATATCATAGTCGACGGTGCGTTGACAGCTAGATGGGCCGGGCACGGTGCTGATATTTCCTGTAGGTGGTGGGCTTATCTACTAAGTTCAGCTGCTTCGTTCCAATTCAATTACCAAGAAACTTCATTGTGTATAAACAGTACGGGCTTCTTTCTCGCTGCCAGTATGTCTGATCATTCTTCGGCACCCTCTATTGGGCATAGTATATTGAACTAAAGGAAAATAAGAATGTCTATTGCAAATACATGGCTTCAATCCACCTCTTCTTTATGATGCACAAGCAGACTTGACGCCTCTATCCTTCTGATTTTCTGATTCTTGATTCATCTCACGGAGGAACGATTCATCCACTTGTCGTACCGCAACACCGTCTTTGTTCTTATAGAACACAATATCTCCTTCGTCTTCAACGAATACGCATTGCGTGAACGACCGGTATAGCGCGTAAATAGGGGGCTTGCGAAAACGAGCAGTAAATCTTTGGCTATAATCGTCGTTCTGAGCGCCAGGAACTTACTGTTGAATCGTAGTTATAATGCTCTTTCAACACTGTCTTGATAGCCTTGGTGATCTCGGGTCCATTGACTGATTCACAATCAGCATAAAGATGCCACGAGAGATCGTACCCCTTACAGAACGGAGCACGAAGGAAGAAATCTAGATGACGGATGAGTTCTTGATGTGCTTGACGGCGACAATAACTCACGATGCGCGACATGATCATGTCCGACGTTATGGAGGAAAACCCTTCCCATCCAGCCTAACAAGGGCCTATCAACTGTACACGCGGCTCCTCGAAGAAAGGACCATTGTCCCTTCCGATAGTGCGGAATGGTTGGGTCCGAATGTTGTAAGAAGGTGAGCATCACGATCCTATACAAGGTGAACCGGATTATTGACTTTGCAAGGGAAGGATGCCTACCAGTGATTGACAAACTGATACCCATGGCATAGTGGATCGTTCAGGTCCCCTCTTCCTGAAAGAGAGACCGAACTTACCATGTACGGGATCAAGTAGTACCACAAAAAGAATTCCTTCCCCAAGACATAAACCACGGAGGCCATTAGACCAATTCCCAAATCCGACAAGAGGATGTAGCATCCTAGAACCGGTGTTATTGTAACTAAGATTGCAAGAAATGTGAACTTTCGAACGGAGTGACTCACGTTGTTCTTTCTTGAAGAGAGGTGAATGAGGATTGAAATGATTGGTACCAGGAGGATACATTGGCGATCCTCGTGTGTTTTGCCTTCAAGATATCCCGTTAGTTTGAGTCGATAAAGAAGGGAGGAATCACTCACGCAAGGTATATCCACCAGCCACTTTGTTATAAGGCCCGACTTAGACGCCATTGCGCGGTAAATGCCTAAGACAACTCACAAAGCCTGCATTGTAAAAAGTCGGAAGAGGGTGAAAAGAGGTGTCTCTTCTAGAACCTCGGCATAATCCATCTTCGTAGCTTTCTTCTCGTCGGGGAGCTTGAAGGCGCTCCGTGTGTAGGGAACGTAGTTCTCATCCCGCTCCATAGACCCAGTGGCTTTCTAAAGTCCAAGGGTAAGAGAAGATTGACTTCGAATAATAGGATCGCGATTTACATGATGCGCGTGGTGGGTTGCTCTCCAAGAAAAGAAGGGAATCAAGAGGTACTGACAAAAAGGTCACTATTGGCCTCGAAATTAGGATTCCGGAGCCTACAGAATGAACCAGGAAACCGAGCACACTATTTGTTAGTTTGCTTTCATAAAGAGAGCCATGGCCGAGATCATGTCCTATAAAGAAATTTATTTAGCCAGTACGCCACACGAATGACAAGGACGCACCTAGGCAGAAGAAACCAGCGCCGACAACCCCCTGGCACCACCAATACGCCGCCCATAGGACGCTCTTGACAATATTCTTGGTAAAAAGAGATGTTATATATCCGCTGAAATCAGATTCTGCCCAAGGAGTGATGGAGTAAGCGCATCTGTAGAGAAGAAGGGCAAAGGCAACGTCTCGCAGGAGGTAATATGTTGCTTTCGCTGGGTTCTCTGCACCAGTAAGCCCCGTTAATGTTCGCCGTTCCACATTGTCAGCTAAATTTATTTAATTACTGTGGAGAAGGTGCTTCGGCACTGCGTCGTGCAGCTCTTTCAGGGTAAAATTAGGTGGGACGAAAGGTCTTCTCATCCTGTCAAATGATAGTCACAAGGGCAGCGAGTGATCGAAATAAGTAAAATTCGAGGGGACTAACCTCTCTTCATACTCAGGACCGTTTTGAAAGACACCCATGGTGAGATGCGTATGAGGGTAAGTGAACACTAGTGTCGTTGGCACACCCCGGTCCCCGTTTTTAGTCCTAGTTAATCAGTGAAGTACATCGGCTTCTTGTGATCCAACATCGATTCATCTTGCTTCGACGCTGGAACGTTTGCGCCATGGTTGAAGTGGTCAATCATAGAAGAAGCCTCAGTCTGTGGTCAGTAGAGCCTTGACGGTGATCTCATCAATATTTGAGCTGATACGCAGCGCTGCCGGGGTTATTTCGGACGTATCCGCCGGAGTGAGCCTTCCCATCAAATGGTAGAAAGCATCGAACACACTTTCGACACTGCAACGGGACCCGAGTCAACGATGGTCCTGCGGTGTTCGACGTCTGCTTCTACGCTCAAGTTTGATGCCAACCAGCAATAGTGACATTAAGACGGAAAGCCATGGAGAAGTCTGTCGGGCTGATGTGAACGCCGAAGCTGGAGTGAAATTTATGTAGGATAATTCTGAATATGCTTATCTTTCAGCCTCTTCCTCTCCATTTTCTTTTCACTGAAGCGCTTCCTCCGCCTCTGCCTCGATACTCTCAGAGACACCTTCTAACTTCCGCCCAAGTGCCGATTTATCGAGCTCTCTCACAGCGATTCCTTCCCTGTTCTTGTAGAATATAATGTCGCCTTCGTCTTCAATGAAGAGGCATTGAGTGAAGGAGCGGTAAAGCGCGTAGAACGTAGGCTGCACGAAGGGTATCAGGTATTTGATAGCCAACTGGTATGATGATGAGCATTACCGTCGAATCGTAGTTGTAGTGCTCTTTCAGGACTGGCTTGATTGCTTTGGTGATAGCCGGGCCATTATCTACAAGATACGGGCATTTTAACAATGGAGTCTCGAGACGAGTGGAATATGTACTTACAAAATGGCGCTCTAAGGAAGAAGTCTTCACAAGTGACATTAGTTTTCATTCACGTCGACCAGTGCTAAAGGGAGGCAATGACGAAAATCGAATTTGGAATAGGGGCAATGTAGCCGCCAAGCAAAACGGAAGCAAACGGCAAACAGCTGGCGCCACTCGAGACCAAAACGAGCCAAAATGCCCAAAAGCAGTAATAAATCGGTTCAGGTTTAAAAGGGTGGACTCACGATGGGCCACATGGTCATGGCTGATATTATGGAAGAAGAATCGCCCCATCCATCCAAGAAGAGGGCGATCCACCGTCCCCGCTGCACCCCGCAGGAAGGTCCATTCTGCCTTCCGATAATGCGGAATTGTCGGGTCAGAGTGGTGGAGGAAAGTGAACATCACAATCCAGTGATTAACTAGCTGAGAGAAAATAAATCAAATTATACTGAAAAATAAAGATTCGGAAATGAACACACAATATATGGGATCAGGTAGTACCAGAAGAAAAAATCTCGTTCAAGCGCATAGAGGATGAGTGCCATGGAGGCGATGCCGATGTTCGACAGTAAGATAGAAAAACCTGATTATATCATAGTCCGACTGAGCGACAAGAAAGAACGTAGGAATGTTACGTACGCTGTTCCTTCTTGAATAAAGGCGAATAAGGGTTGAAGTGGTTCGTGCCGGGTGGGTACATCGGTGACCCCATCGTGTTTTGACTGATTGACAGAGAAGAATGAAATACAGGTTTGAATACCGGAGCATAATGGACTAAAAGTAAGGGAAGCTCACGCCAAATAGACCCACCACCCGCTAGCAGTAGACCAATGTTAGAGATCAAGAACTATGAAGGGCGAGGAATTCGTACAATGCCTGCATGATAAAAAGTCTATAGAGGGTATAGATCGGAGTCTCTTCAAAAAGTTCATCATAGTCGGCCTTCGTGGCTGTCTTCTCGTCGGGAAGCCTGTATTTGGAACGCGTATACGGAACATAGTTTTCATCGCGCTCCATTGAGCCTGTTGCTTTCTTAAGACCGTTTAGATAGACAACTGATTACACGTGGATTAGGGAGCCTTACATGATGCGCATGATGAGTAGAGCGCCAGGAGAAATAGGGTATAAGGAGATACTGCCAGTGACTCGAGTCAGCGCGTTGTCGAGGAACGGGGGAACAAAGAAAACCCACGGAATGTAACACAAATCCTACTGCGTTGTTGATCCTACTGTCCTCGAAGAGAGAGCCGTGGTCGGCATCGTGCCCTGAAAAGAATACGTCAACGGTTCTGAGAGCGCTGACACGACGAAAATGTACCAAGGCAAAAGACTCCCGCACCGACAATACCCTGAAACCACCAATACCCAACCCAAAGCGCAGACTTCACGAACGCCTTAACCCACGACGTAGTTATATGACCGCCAAATTGCCGTCGCTCCATGGTTCGATATGAGAGGCAAAACGATAGAGGAAAAGAGTAAAGACGACATCTCGCAAGATGTAGAGCGTTGCGCGTGTGGGATTCTCTGGTCAACGAATGTGAAAAAAGGGTTTGCAGCAGAACTGTAATGCGAGATATGAGCGACGTACTCTTCAGGAGGTGCTTTGGCACGGCTGAATGGATGTCCTTTAGGGTCAGGTCTGGTCCAGGAGGCAGGAATGGCCGTTTGAGTCTCTCCTCGTATTCGGGGCCGTTGCGAAAGTGTGCCGCGAGGCTGAAATACGACATAGGGTTGAAAGGCAGCCGGAATAAGATTGTATATATCCTGGCCTCCCAAGATTAGCACACGAAAAAGGAGAAGGGTAGATAATGGGGGTAAGCATGATTAGCTTCATCTCCGAGGTGCAGAGGCAACGCACTCCGTAATTCTTTCGACCGGAGCAGAGTAAGGATCATGCCAAAAATAGGTTTGCCCGGGCAATGTGGGGCGGGTTGGGGTGTGCAGTACTCGGATGTGGATCCAGAAGTGTTCGTGGAATACCTCGTCCGTCCAGCATGCTCCCGCAACGTCACTCATGAGCCGTTCGAGATCTGTTCAAGGTTGAACGTTGATTCACCGCAGTGACTCGGATCGCGGAAGTCCTTAGGCATCGTCCCCTACGCCTTGCACCCTCATCCGAAACCTGTACGCAGCATACCATTCAGTTCATCCGTAGCAGTATCAGCCTTTAAAATCTGATCAACGCGCCAAATCATCCAGAACCGAAGGTGCAGCGCCGAAGTCAGACTCTGAATTGGTGCTGTGCGCCCCATGTGAAGGTTTAGTAAGACTGGCGACGGAGACAATCCAAAGACAATCCAGAGTTTCGTGTCGAACAGGGGGCTGTCGGCGTCAAGTTTTCACTCGTCCCCAGTTATCCCCAGCAGATTTACTGCAACCGCAATATCGTGGAAATGAAGAGAGTTCAAGTGGCGACTCGGACTCGTGTGACTGAGTCCAAGTAAGACTAAGAGCGGTGACGCGCCACGTGATCCCGTGACTGACGCGTCGAGACCAGAGATTACTTGCCAAATCCGGACAGCCTTTCCTCATCCCCACCGCTCGCAGCTGGGCCAGCGTCCGTCAGCTCCTAAAGAAATCGAAGTTTATGATCTAATCCCCGCGAGATTTTGCTCCCTGGGTACATGTAACATGACAGGCGATTTGGGACTTTGAGGATCCCCTGTTGCGAATACTAGTGCGGCGCCAGTCGGGGTGCTCTAGTGGGATGTATGCGCCACAATCTGGACAACAGGTATACATATCCCTACAACTTCTTAGCAAATTTGATGAGTATCTTATCAGAGCATGTAGTTCCCTTATACGGCCCTGGGTGTCGGTTGGAGCTTAGAACTCAACTGGCGCTGCCATTAAGCTGGTGGAACGTAAAGGCTCTCCCACACTGTGCCTTTACGCGCTTTATCCGGTAGGTAGCAGTGTAATTTTCTATGCGTTGATAACTTACCTTTTAATCCCGAAACAGCTTCGAATGGTGCATGTATATGTGATATCAAGTCCACCAGTCCACCAGTGGCATCCTGCTGGCTACCGACCACTGACGATCGACTACTGTTCGAAGATATAAGTCTGGCAACGTCCGCAGATGATACATCCTGCCAAAAATCGTAGTAGGTAGTTTATCTCAGCCTATCTCTCTATCCGATTTGCCTCCTATGTAGTCTTCGAACTGAGGTCCAAGCCTTTGCTATTTTTCCACATTTTGTGGGGAACGATCATTCGGCCCGTCGTGTTGACAAGATGCTGCATTCTCTTTCCATGGAAAGGCATACATAAACTCCGGTGAGTACCTCAGCTGCTCCGTAGGTCCGTCCTCCTGAACCGCGATATATCTCATACTTTCTTTCACTTAAGCTAGCTGTAAGGCCTTTATTTATGGCCCATCGCGATGTGATTCGGATACCTAACTGGCGATGAAAGGTTCCCGCGAATCGGTTATTGCAGGTTCTCTTATAAAGATGATTGGCATCCTCTCCACCCCCACTAAAGAATTGGCTATGAGTAACGCGAGGCTCCTCATAGGGCAACTTGTTGCCAGTGGTTATCATCGTGCAATGTCACAACTCTTCGGGCGCTTACAGCTGAAAGAGCACATTTGTTAACGGTTAATCAAGGGCCTCTCACAAGTGTTGCACTCTGAATCGCAGAGGTTCTTAGCGCTAGTCCCGCAGCCTCGGCATTATGACCGGGACACCGGAAAACCAGCCGATAAGCACAGCCGGCTCGTCGATAAGGCGAGGTTTACGTGATCGGAGACGGGCTTCAACAAGAGGCAAGGAAGAGAAGGCTAACCATCCGAATGCCTGAATTGCAGACTGCACTGAGGATGGGTTTCACGATCTGCCTGCAGGTAGTATTGCCTGAAGGCGTCAGGAGGGCCTGGAAAAAGAGGAAGTATGAGGAGTTGTAGAAGGAAATTGAGATGGGTCAAGGCTTATCCAGACAAGAGAGCAACCTTGGAAAGCCTTCGGGAGGCCTTTTCATCATGTTCGGGAAATAAACCAAGTTACAGCTGGGCGGCAAAAGAGCGGGCTCAACTTTGCGGCGAGGGCAGTAAAACAAGCGCTCTCATTGGTCGGCGATGTGGGGAATTCACGTGCCGGTGTTGCATAAATTTGATGAGTTCCGGTTCGCTCCTTGTCACTTCTTCTCTTTCTCTCTCCTCGTCGTCGTCGCCGTTGGGTGCGATGCTCAACCTAGCCCACAGAACCGCGCAGGCTCTTGGCGCCCTGAGAAGGGTAGCCAGGGGCATGGCTACGGCCGCTCCTCGCATCGGCGACACGAAGGTCCCAATGTCTCTCCTCGAAAAGGGCGCATACATCAACTATCAGCGCATCGAGGACAACCTCGTCATTGTCCGGGACAGGTGAGCTTCTTGTGCGGTATGCAAACGCCAGTGCTTATCCATGTCCAGACTCCAACGCCCTTTGACTCTCTCCGAGAAAATCCTCTACGGCCATCTTGACGACCCTGTTAACCAGGACATCGTTCGTGGCACCAGCTACCTCAAGCTGCGTCCAGACGTATGCTTTTCTGTTCAAGTTTTTGAATACCAACTCACCGTCCTCCTAGCGCGTAGCCTGCCAGGATGCTACTGCCCAGGTGTGTTCGACGTCACACCCTTATCTCCTCCCTCTGACGTAATGGTTTGCGTAGATGGCTCTTCTCCAATTTATGTCTGCTGGAATGGACACCGCTGCGGTACCAACCACTGTTCACTGCGACCACTTGATTGAGGCCCAGGTCGGCGGTGTCAAGGATCTTCAACGCGCTATCGACATCAACAAGGAGGTGTACGACTTTCTGGCTACCGCCACCGCCAAGTATGGTCTCGGCTTCTGGAAACCCGGCTCAGGTATCATCCACCAAATCATCCTCGAGAACTACGCTTTCCCCGGTGGTTTGATGATCGGCACGGACTCACACACCCCCAACGCCGGTGGTCTCGGGATGATTGCTTGTGGTGTTGGCGGTGCGGACGCTGTCGACGTCATGGCAGACATTCCTTGGGAACTCAAATGCCCCAAGGTTATCGGTGTCAACCTCACAGGCAAGATTGGTGGCTGGACAACGCCAAAAGACGTCATCCTCAAGGTTGCTGGCATTCTTACTGTGAAGGGCGGAACAGGCGCTATTGTCGAGTACAAGGGCCCTGGTCTTGACTCGCTCAGCTGCACGGGCATGGCCACGATCTGCAACATGGGTGCTGAAATCGGCGCTACAACGTCCCTCTTCCCCTTCAATAGTCGCATGGCTGACTACCTGAATGCAACCAAACGTCCGGAGATCGCCAACTACGCTCAGCAATTCTCGCATAATCTCAAGGCAGACGAAGGCGCCGAATACGACCAGGTCATCGATATCGTACGTTGGCCACGTCGTCACTCCTGAGCTATTTTTAACTTGCATTTGTGTCAGAACCTCTCCGAACTCGAGCCTCACATCAACGGCCCATTCACTCCGGATCTCGCAACTCCCATCTCCAAGCTCGCCGAAGAATCCAAGAAGAATGGATGGCCCGACGAAATCAAGGTTGGACTCATCGGCTCGTGCACCAACTCGTCATACGAAGACATGTCTCGGTCTGCATCGCTCGTCAAGGAGGCCACCGAAGCTGGTTTGGAGCTGAAGTCGAAGTTCACTATCACCCCCGGGTCAGAGCAAGTACGTGCCACCATCGCTAGGGACGGACAGATCGAACTCTTCGAGAACGCCGGTGGAATCGTTTTGGCCAACGCGTGTGGGCCGTGTATCGGACAGTGGGATCGTCGAGATGTGAAGAAGGGCGAGCCTAACACCAGTGCGTAACACACGTGTTCATCGTACTGGACGATGTGCTAACGTTGGTATAACAGTTGTTACGTCTTACAACCGCAACTTCACTGGCCGTAACGACGCCAACCCCGCCACCCACGCCTTCGTCGCCTCTCCTGATCTCGTCACTGCTCTCCTCTTTGCCGGCTCGCTCTCTTTCAACCCTCTTACCGACTCTCTCCCAACACCCTCCGGCAAGCCGTTCAAATTCTCTGCTCCATCAGGCTTTGAGCTTCCTCCTCGCGGTTACGACCCAGGAGAGAACACTTTCCAGCCCCCTCCTGCGGACCGTGCCTCTGTCCAGGTCGCCGTTGACCCTAAGAGCGACCGTCTGCAGCTGTTGAAGCCTTTCGAGAAGTGGGACGGCAAGAAGCCTGAGAATCTTCCGGTGTTGATCAAGGTGAAGGGCAAGTGCACAACGGATCACATCTCGGCGGGTGGACCATGGCTGAAGTACAGAGGTCATCTTGAGAACATCTCCCGTGCGTCTGCCTTTTCCTGTTATGGTACGGTTGCTCATTGATCTAATGTTTGCAGAAAATTGCCTCATTGGTGCCATCAACTCGGAGAACGGCGAAGCTAACAAGGTCCAAAACCAACTTGATGGCTCATGGGGTGGCGTACCGCAAGTTGGCGCTGCTTACCGCGACGCAGGCATCAAGTGGGTCGTCATCGGAGATCACAACTACGGTGAGGGATCTTCCCGCGAACACGCGGCTTTGGAACCTCGCTTCCTTGGTGGTCTCGCCATCATCGTCCGCTCGTTCGCCCGTATCCACGAGACCAACTTGAAGAAGCAAGGCATGCTCGCTCTGACTTTCGTCAACCCTGACGACTACGACAAGCTGCAAGGCACAGACCGAGTAACCATTGAAGGACTGGAGACCTTCTCACCTGGCAAGAACCTTTTCCTGTTGGCTAAGCACAAGGATGGCAGCGAGGACAGGATCGAGCTTGCGCACTCGTTTAATGAGGGCCAGATCGAGTGGTTCAAGGCTGGCAGTGCATTGAATTTGGTGCGTTCTCTTCCATCGTCTTGTTCTCCTGGCCTAGTATTCATCTTCCATTCTAGATGGCCGCTAAGGCGAAGGAGAGGGCTGCTGCCGCCAGCGCTTAGGTTCAAAAGGTCGCTGCTGAAGACCATGTGCGCGTGTGGGTGAAGAACGCTCGTAGGAGTGTTATGTTGGCCGAGCGTGGAAGGCGCTTTGGTTTTGTGGTTGAAGGACAGATGAAAGGAGGATAGGAGAACAATCGAACCTCGCGTCGATTCTTCGTTTCGTTTCGTGCCAGCCAGGCTCTCGCTTTCTGCGCTACGTATTAGCCACGCCCTGCTGCTAATTCCGCTATCGCTCCTGTATCAATCATAGTTCCTTCTTTATTCAGACTCGTAGAGAGTACGTTTCGTGTAGCTTTCTTTATATCATCTTTCTTTTCATCATCTTATCATTTGTGTAACATTCAATGTGAGGTACAAACGGAGGAAAAGTCGAACCTAAGCTGAAATGCTCTCTTTAGAAATTCCTTTGTAATGCATGTCCGAGGACCTTTGACACTTTAACCTTTTACACTTTTACGCTCTTCAAGGTCTCGACTTTTTCATGGTTGCCATAAGATTGATGCCACACTCAAGTCCGATTCATATGGCCTAGAGGTCCAGTGCTGCAACAACCAACGTAAGCACAAGCTGATGAGATGGTCCCACAGTGGTCGAGCTCATGCGCCGATACGTTGCACTCGGACGTCGACACATGGAACAAAACTTGGAGATTGACAGTCAACAATGTATTCCGAGGATTATCACTCCAAAATTCTGACCCCTGAAGGCTAATCCTTTTGAGGTCGATCCCCGTTAAACAGACCTTTCACCCTCATCGCCTACCACCTTTCCCGCAGCTTCGTCATGTGCTGGGCCACCAAGATTCCGCTGAATTATGAAAAATCCCTTTTCTTCATTCAAAAGCGACCTTTCCTTCCTGCGCGGCGATCTTTGCCACAAACACGCTCGTCTCTGCAAGTATGACCAAGCGCCCGTCGCCCGCGAATACCATGTTAGCGGATGTGGTACCGAGGAAGAACTTGCCCAGGAGGGTGCCTTGTGGGGACCAGACCTAGGCCGGAGGTATGAGACGGATATTAGGAGGGAGAGGAGATTAGAGGGATACGTACATGTACTCCATCTCCACAGCCTGAGTAGACATTGCCTTTGGCGTCAACTTGTACGCCGTCTGGCACGCCCGCGTCGACATATGCAAACACGCGACGGTTGAGGAAGGTTTGGGTGTATGGGTCCACATCAAATGCGTATCTGGATGACGATGATCATAATTGGAAAGTCAAGGCATGCAATTCGTCCCGAGACGCACATCGTCGCTGGCTCTGTCTGGTTATTCCCTAAGAAACCTCCTGCTGCACCTGTGTCTGCTCTGAAGTGTAATCAGTTTGATATAGTATCTTCAAAGGCGAGAAAGAGTTTCGCAGACATACATATAAGCTATTTTGCCATCTGGCGTGAAAGCGATGCCATTTGGTCGATCAAAATCTGTGGCTACAACGCGAAGGGCGGCCGTCTTGGGGTCGAAGCGATAAATCTGGTTGGGCATAAGTGGTGCCACCCGGAAGTGGTTCAAGAAGCCATATCTGTTCCATCCTCGTAAACAAACTGAATCTCGGGCAGAGGAGAGGGGAGAACACGCACGTAACATCGGTGAAGAAAAAAGCCCCGGACTTGGGGTGGACTTTAATGTCATTCAGCGAATTGAACTGCCTCCCGAAAAAATTGTCGAGGACGACGGTGGCGTTGTGTGGCGCGGCAGGATTGACGAGGACGATCGAAGGAGGACGCGGGCCGCGTCCCGAGGTGATGAGAATGAGAGAAGACTGGTACGGGCCTGTGCCCCCGTTCGTCATCTGGATTGTTTCCGGGAGGAACAGCTGAGTGAACCGTGTACGTGAGCGCAGGGATGAATTAAAATACCAGCGGGTGACACAGGAGTGGGAGAAGGAGAACCGTGGCGAGCAGTGTGGCGGGCAGGTGAGAACGAGGGTGGGAGGGCATGAAAAGGAAGAAGTGAGTGAAAATGTCCTGTAGCCATCGCCTCCTGAAAGCCAAGAGCCGAGAAGAAAGAAAACAAGTAGCGGAGATTGACCACCACACCGAGATGCAGCCCAAACGACGACGTCGTCGCTTGCCCCAGATTAAAGCACTGCAAGCTCTTCGCACCCACGAAGGCCTCCCAGTCCCTGAGAATAGAGCGAAAATGTACTCACCTCGGTGATAGGGACCTCAATGGCTCCGCCAATATCCCCATTATAAGTAAGTCCCCGCAGCGCGGTCTCGACAGCGCCCATGCTGATTTTGCCGACTTGATTATTGTGGTCCAAATCGCTAAATCCCAGCGGACCTCCATCGTTGCTCGCGAAAAATACCTCGTCCGTTGAAGGGTTATAGATCGGGGCCTCGTGGGCGAACGCAAAGATCGTATTGTGCGCTACCCTATTCAGGGAGGGGTTTGAGCCCAGGATAGAGAGGAAGTCTGGGTCGAAGATTTGGAAGAAGGGCGGCGTCGTGTTTGTTGGATTGAAGAATTCAGTGAAAGAATCGGTACGAAATGACCCGGAGGCCCCCAGCACGGCAAAAGAGCGTGGATCGATGAACTGTATGTCATGAAACCGGCGACGTACGTGAAGTGGGGGTAGCGTGAGCCTGGGGGGGGGGGTGAGGAGGAGCTAGAGCATGTGCTTACAACAGATTGAGGTGGAACTCGAAGCTGGGCACTCGCGGGCGGTACTTTATTGTTATCGCTGCCTCGAGCAAACGCAATCGCGTAGCAGCAGACTGCGATCGCGGTGATTTTGTACAAGATGTTCATCTTGGATCTCTGCTCGAGTTTCACGAGCACGGGAGGGTTCTGGGCCTTTTTCTCCATCCCGAGGTTTCTTCTGTGAATATATAGAGTTCGATGGGTCAGCCGGAGTCGTCATACGAAGGGCTGTCATACGACGCAGACGCTTTCTTCCCTCTGTTTACCAACAAGAAGCGCGGACTGGGAGAATGAGACCGAATATGCGTTCGTCCGACCGCATATAGCTGCCAACTTACCTCGCATGCAAGTTTCTATAGCTTCGAAGCCTGAATTATTCCCCTTAGAAGGAAGATATGATGACGCCCAATGACAAAGAATGGGGATTTCCTATATTTATGTAAAGTCAAGCAAGTTTCAGCTCGAGCCGCACCCCAAGACATCGGAGAACGAATGAAGCTCATACCGGAGTCACCCTGCACTCAGCCCACCCGTTCCCCAACGCAAAAAGGATACGATGGCCACCTTGGTGAATGCAATGAGGCGACTGTAAACGATGTGGGAATTGTGAAGAATGTTGCGGTGGAAGCCAAAGTGATATAAAGGGGATCAATTTATTCGGAAACTTACATTTTATTTCCATGGCCAACCTTGACCTCTTTCCACTGGCTGCTCTACTTCTATCGAACCAAAGGTCCCGTTTTCACAAAATTTCACTGGCAGATTCTCTAGAACGTGTGTTCTGGAGTCTTGATAACGCACGCCACCTCCTAGTCAATAGGAAAAATTGACACGCCGCTGCCAGCGATATGCTTCAACGCCCTTTTCACCCGCAGACAAACGTCAGACAACACAGCTCAGACGACACGGTGTGTCCTCGAAGCTTACTGACAGGTTTGGAAGCCAAGTAGGTTGACCGCGCGGAGGGTACCAGGTAAGTCAATCTGCTCGTGGACCCTTGCTCGTGCTTACTGATGTTGTCGACGCGTTTCTGTAGCATTGTTCTCATCGCACATACTTATCGCTCCGCACCAATATTGCTGCCGTTGCTTCGTGCCCTACAATTCCCGTTCGTACCAGCAGTTCTGCGACAAGTTTTTTTACGACACGACATTCGGAATCACAGGATCCTGTTCCCGATAACCGGTTCCATCCTCAAATTCGTGCCGTCTATCGCTTCTTTCATACCTTTCCCCTTTGCAAAGCGCGCCATGGGCCTTCCATATAAAGAAGCAGGGTCAGCGAGGCAGTGAGCGATCCAGGACGGAATCACGATCCCAAGCAATTTTATTTCGCACTTAAAAGCGAGTTAAAAGCGCGCTTGTGTCGACTTTCCGTGGGATCCAACAAGTGCTTGAAGGCTACATCTTCGCCCTCCTTGTTCTGTGCTACTTTGAACCGTGTTTCTCCAATTCCTGTCGTGCTGCTTCGAGATGAAGTCGAATCTCACGCAGAAGTTTCCACAGACGAAGGGGGTTAGATGGTTCAATCTCGCGGTGCTCACTATCACACCACTTGTGGCAGCGTATGGCCTATGGCGCGTCCCAGTCCTTCGCGAAACAGGCCTTTTCGCGGTGGTATACTATGTTTTTTCGATGCTCGGTGAGAAGCGCCGTTCTTTTCTTGATCTCGCGTGGAATGACAGCTATGACGCACCCTCCAGGAATCACGGCAGGCGAGTCTTCAATCGAGACCGGCTTTTAATTTTGTTGCTCAAGCAACGTAGGATACCATCGGCTCTGGTCGCACTGTTCCTACAACGCATCGGTTCCCCTTCAGCTTTTCCTCCTCGCAGGAGGTACGAGTGCTGTTCAGGGCTCCTGTTACTGGTGGGCCCGGGCCCATCGTTCACACCATCGACACACGGACACAGATTTGGACCCTTACAACGCAAACCGCGGACTACTTTGGACTCACATCGGATGGATGATTTTTAAGTCACAGCTACGTTCCGGCCCCTCGGATATCTCGGACCTTCGAAAAGACGCCCTCATTCAGTGGCAACACCGGCACTACTTCCCGCTGGCCCTGTTCTTCGGCTATATTTTCCCGGCGGTCATCCCAGGCCTGTTCTTCAACGACTGGTTGGGTGGTATTTGCTTCTCCGCAGCCCTTCGTTTGACCCTTGCACACCACGTCCGTTCCATTTTCATACTGATGCATTTCTTCGTGCTGATTGATCTTATCCTTCAACAGAGCACTTTTTGTATCAATTCAATTGCGCATTGGCTAGGGACAGCACCGTATGACGATGCTCTCACACCTCGAGACCACTTTCTCTCCGCCGTCTTAACGATGGGCGAGGGTTATCACAATTTCCACCATCAATTTCCAATGGACTACCGCAACGCTTTCTTGTGGTATCAATACGACCCTACCAAATGGTTCATCGCACTGTGCGGCAAGCTGGGGCTTGCACGTCATCTGCGCGTCTTCCCAAGCAATGAAATTGCGAAAGGAAAACTAGCTATGAAGCTCAAGGAGCTGAAAGGAGTCCAAGACTCGCTGAAATGGCCAACGCCTGCAGATGAGCTGCCTGTTGTAACTTGGGAGACGTGTGCGTCATAGTTTGCATTCGACGTCTTTCCGACTAAAGTGAGGCGCAGTTCAAGAAGAGTCGAATTCGCGGCCTTTAATTCTAATAGCAGGCTTCATCCACGACGTGTCTTCGTTCATCGACAACCATCCAGGTGGAAGACACCACCTCGTTGGAAATTCTGGAAAAGAGATGACGGCGTCGTTCTTTGGTGGCGTGTACAAGCACTCGAGCGCCGCTCATAATGTAGGAGATCCCATGTCTTTCTTTACTTTATCTAACTGATATCCGGTACTTTAGCTGTTATCCATGATGAGGGTTGGCGTACTAGACGGTGGCATGGAGATTACACAACAAGAAGTGCCTCCAGTCCGTAAGCTATTCATTTCCGAAGCAGAGCGGAGGCCCCAAGTCTTGTAGACCGGTGTCGACTCCTTGAGAACTCAATTATAGATTTAGGTGTCTTCAGTGAGTGAGCATATCGTTGAACCGACTTCGGTTGATCCGTCGAGAAGGGCGTTCATTATTTGGATTTTTATTAAACCCCGAAATTCCATTAAAAAAGAGAAAATGATACGTTATACGAGCTGGATTGGAATTCCTTTGAAGCGCTTCCGCTTGCCGTAGGCGATCTGGTTCCCCACCGACATCCTCGAGAAGTATGCCAGAGCCGTAACGCCGAGTAAAACGAACTGTTGGAGGTGTTCATCAACTCAGGTCCGACCAAGGCAGTGAAAGAAGGAAAACGATGACTTACACCATATACCACTGAGGGGACGACCCAAAGGCGATTGGCTGTCAGCATACCATCTTGCATCAGCGCAGAGAGGAGGGCGCCGAAGCTGCTGATAGAGAGGATGAGGCCAACTCGGGTGCTATGAGGATTATGAAGAATCAGCACCGCAGTTTCATGTGGTGTGCGAGTGCGAAGGACGTACCCAACTTCGCTCATACGCGACGCTAGTGAAGAGAGCGCCGTCACCATGAGCGACAACCCTGCGTGTCAATGCGCGAAAATAGAGCAGCAACGAAGCAGATTGATAGGCGACGAATAGACCGGAAGGAGAAAGAGGATAACCGAGGGGCACATAGATGTTAACGTCAGGATTTGGACCAACACAAAACAGACCAAGTTGGAGGTTTGACAAACACTTACATGCGCCAGAGAAGAGACCGTAGAAGAATGACGCTGCGACGAGCGATTTGGTGCCTTGTCTAGACATGACAAACAAGCGGAAGTCATCAGAAATGGAGAACATATATACAGAGTGCTGGAGTTCCGCGGAAGATGTGGAGATGGGACGTACACAGCACATGTCGTGAACAGCATGAGAGCGACACCACCGCTGACGGGAATGAGGAGGTTCCAGACACCGACAATGTCGGAAGCAAACCCCAGGCCCGCGCGTCCGATGATACCTGTGAGGCTCAGAACCACGAGCTGTGGGATGAAAGATCGAAAGGGGCACTAATGAGAAAATGGGGTCAAGGTGCCAAGTTGATAATGAATCGCACAGAGTTGAAGGCTGATTGTGTGTCGGCGCCTCTCTCAAGTCCGAGGACGTCCAAGTACCAAACTGTCGACGAAAATGAGATAATGGCGAATGCAGATACAAGAAAATGGACGCACCAGGGTAGTAGATGACGAGCATACTGAGGAGCATGCTATTTCAAGATCGATCAATGTCACTACCGCCATCAGATTAGGTGGTTAACCCACCCTCCTGCGGCGAACAGGTATTCTTTCTCCTTGCTGTACTTTGCGAGATCGAGGCGGGGCAGAGGGTAGAGGGGCTTCTCCTCTTTCGGTGGTGTGACGAGCAAGCAGTTGGCGATGACGAGGCATCCGAGGATGATGTACCCAGTAACACGGACAGCGCCTCCAAGGCCACGTTCGGGAATCATGCCTCTGAGGACTACGTGAATTTTATGGAAGGGTCAGTCGGACCTACGGTGACAAGAAATAGATGACGCACTAGGAGGGAAGATCATCCCGCCAAAGGAACCTCCGCTCATCACTATCCCAACAGCGAGTCCCCTCTTGCGCCTGAAGTAGTGCAATGCAACTGTTGCCGTTGGAACGAAGACAAGGCCCATCCCGATGCCCATACCAATGGATTGGCATGCAAAGACCTGCAATGGTGGTTAGGATGCTCGAACACAGAACTTGAGGGGGAGTAAGGCGCACAAGACCAAATTCTTCTTCGTTGACGAAGGAGAGAAGGAAGAGGCTGAAGGTAGGACGTCGTTAGCAATTTTGTCATGCATCAGCCGACCGACAACTTACGAAACGGAAAACAAGAGCGACCCAGAGAGGACGGAATGTTGGAAGAAGCCGCTGTCGGCGAGTTTCCCTGCCACAAGGGAGAGGAGGAAGGCAAGAAACCATTGAACACTTCCAATGAAACGAACGACCATTGGGTTTTCGTCGGTCAAGAAGACGTGGTTGTAGTGATCTGGAAATGAAATGAGCATATCCACAAACGTCGAGACCATCCGACCATCCGCATACCTTCAAAGACGTTCCATGTGAACAGATATCTGCCAAAAGCGATCAGCATTTCTTTACCAGCGGGATATTCTCCTAGTCATACCCAATGGTGCAGAATTGGATCAGAAAGGCTCCAGCAACTGTTGTCCATCCTCGAATCCCTCCCTCGGGCGCGTGCTTGGTATACAGTGGTGGAGGGTCATGAGCATCTTCCTCGCCAGACATGTATGCCTCGTAATCGTCTCCCCAGATCTTCGGGGATTTGGAAGGGCCTGCGAAGCCATACCGCCGTGCGGACCGTTGGTTAATGAACTGTGCGGACTCGGGAGTTGGAGGTGGGATTCTGAACTCTGAATCTTTCGATTTCTCCTTCCATGGCGGTCGGATCTGGGCCAGCCAGCTGGTTGAGGATGAGGAGAGTGCGCTCTTCACAGAGAAGCCTGAACTCACGTTCGACCATTGTCAAGCCATGCCCGTCCAAACCCCTTCGAACGCTCCTTCTTCGGCTCTGGTTGCGACCAGGATGGTAGTTCGGGCAGGTTCAGCAGTGGTGCAGGGCGTTCAGGCTGAAGCCTCGCAGTCCGTGGTCGAACAGGTAGATCGGATTCGGGGTGCTCGTAAACTTTGACGACTCGGTGTTCTCGTTTCAGAGGTTTCGCGGGTTTTTTGAATTCTTTAATGCCAGTGGGAGTCCGGGGAGTGCGAGGGCTTCGAGGACTGGCGGGGAATGCTGCAAACATTATGTTGGCTGCCACCAGGGCAGGTTTCGTTGGGCTAGATACCGACCAGGGCACTAGAAAGCGTTGAACGGAGCTCAGCTCGCGTTATGTATGAGGAAGAGTCCCACAGGGTCCATAAAGCTGTGCACCCCCGCTGTGTTTGATCCGTGCTCCTCGTTCCTACAACAACCGAGGGCGCTATAAGAGCTCCGCACTGAGCTTTCTTTATCTGCTTCCGTCAGCACTAACCGATACTCTCGACGCCAACGATAGGAACCAATCTTCCTTGCCTCTTCCTAGCTCTTCCTTGACGATGAAGACGCGGTCATTTCCTGGACTCTTGCTTTGATCTTCTGTGATTTGCCTTCCCTGACTGTTGGAAATAAGCGAAAAGATGAAACATCGCCGGGATTGCGGGGAATGGAAAATTCATGTGGGCAGACTGCAAGGAAAGGCACCACATACCATCCTCCGATGGCCACCTATTTCTTGCCTAGTGCTTTCTCAGAGGTTTTTGCTACCTGGCCGGGCAGAGGAAATCGACTTACTGGTGCATAACGTATGAAGTCTATTGCATGGTCTCTAGCTTTAGCCCTTTAACGCATGCTGGGACCATAGTTTCATATTTCGAGTGAGCCTTGAGCATTCAAAGGTGTATTCGGCACACCTTCATTCCCTTCTACAACTACATTCCGAGCCTCGTCCATGGGTAATATCGACGGCAAGCATCCCTCGATCCTCGAACTTGGCCGGCCTTCGAATGAACGCAAGTAAAAAGGGTATGTTTCTCGCATCTTAAGGTTGGAATAAGAGGAGGGTGACGTCTTCAGGTCTCTGGAATAGTCGAATATGGGACCCGGTTCCCGGGCAAATGCCTGGATAGAAATTACCATCGTCTTGTCAATCCAGACCGTAACATTCTCGGGCGATTACATACCTACTTGGCTATTTCATTTAATCATTTTAGTGTATTATGTATGCGCCCGAAAATAGCACAGAGAGGTGTGTTGAAAGGTGGGACTGGATTGTGTAGCCTTCTGCATCTTCAATTGCTTATAATGCATCCTTGGAGGGCAAGAAGAGTCAATGATGCGAAATTCCTTCAACAAAAAAGATAAATGGTGAGCTCTGGTGAAAATATTGTATATGAAGCTGCCCAGAGCTGCCCGCCCGCCCACATGAGAGCTGCATCCCTCCCATTCAACCAGTGCAAGTCGGCTATGGAACATAAATTCCATGCTACATCGACGCCCAGCATCTTTCTTAGTAAAGGTATTGGACTTTCTTCTTTATTGAGGAGAATAAATGATCGTAGAGAGGAAAAGATAGCGCAGCGCATGGTGGTGGACATGATTCAAATTGTACGGGGAACACGTCCGCTTTTGGCAGTGTTGACGCGTCGGTCACGAGGTCACGTGTACGCATGTCACCCACCCTCGGAGTCGCAGCCCGAAGTTTAAACCTGGACTCGACGTTCAACCTCATCCGCATTCCATATCTCCCAGAATCTTGCCATTGGCAGAAACCTTCGTATTAATTTGAATTCATTCTCATTATTGCAGCATTTATTAATGCACGCCGGACTACAGATCGAAGTTGTGGGCATCCCCAATTTATCGATTCACGAATCACGAAGTGCATTGATATGCCAGGCATTGTTGGGCTGCAGGATATGGAGGCTCATAGCAATGGATAGAGTGCGTATGCTCCTTCTTACTGCACTATTTATCTTGCTTGTTTAGCTTGCTTTTCAGCCAGTTCACATCGCCCTGACATCCTACTCTGGCATTTCCGAATGTTCAAGTCATAAACGGAAGTACAACCTTGAACATTGGAACCCTGTTCAAATCGTCCGACAGGATCCCTGTTTACGCCCAGCAGTTGCAACGGTTCTACGAAGGTTGCTCTGAATAACCCGACCTCTGGATGTTGTCGAACCTCAACAACGCCCTTATAACTGGCGGGACGTACACCACAGTAAACCATAAGGTTACCCCATTTCAACCAGGTAAGGTTCTTTTCCGCTATATTTGATCTAAACAAACTCTTCGCTCTGTAGAGTCTCCGCTACGTCGAACGAACCTATCCACCGACTCGCGAGAAAGCTGCCCTGCAGAAGGTCGTAGACTGGGCCCAAGACATCCGGCCAGAGACGCCAACTCACCTCTGGTCACACAGCTCCAATGGGCTAGGAAAGTCGACATTAGCCCACGCCTTCGCGATACGATGCAAGATGCTGAAGATATTGGCCGAAACGTTTTTTTCTCGCGGAGCAACCTAGCCTACCCCTCATTTCGACCCTCTACCAACTCAGTTATTCCCCGCCACCCCTCCGTACATTGAGGATGATTGAAACCTAAATCCTGCTCTTGTCACTGCGGCCCTTCTTGAATACGAGTTTGTTGGCCATTCTGCTCTTGGTGGCTTATCATCCGACCCCACTTCTCGGGCGCATGTGCGTTTGTATTGGAGGACATCGTTCCTGGCTTGCCTCCAATCTTCAAGAGTGAGTGTATACATAGTATGTTTGAGCCTACGCTTAATCCCATATCTTAGTTCTTCGGAAGCCAACCCCAGCTTCGCAAGACACATAGAGACCTTCGACAAGCTCTACTGTCTTGTCTGCCGCCACCCAGAGATACTGTCATCACCCCCGTCTTGAAGCGCCTTTTCTCATGGTCATCTTAGCTTGACGATAACGCCCTACGCATCCAAATGTTGTTGCTTGACCAAGCGTCCACCAGCATCGATGTCCTGTGGGTGAAGCTGGTTTCTAGCTCTCTGCGGGGCGTGTGGGGCAGTATTTCGTTGATGATCATGAAGATAGATATGCCCCAACGATCTTACAGCTCTTGAAGTACGTCTTTGGCACATGCAAGTAGAGCTCAATTTGCTTGATCTTACGGGAGATTTGATTAATTTGGTTCCGTCAGAGTATAGGCTGTGGAAGTACACGAGATTAAACGGATTCTCAAATGTACATCTATATTGCTTAGGAAGGCCACTAGCTACCACAAGCTGGAGTCATTTTTTGCATGCCTCCTAACGCCGCAGACGCTGTACACCCCGTTGATCCCCCTGCAGTTCATTCAATTCTTAGGAGTTTTTGTACAGGAGGCCTGCAGGAGGATTAAGGAGCTCACAACGGGATAACTTCTCCGTGCTCGTCGTCTTCCCCTCCGTTTTGTTTCTTCTATACATCAAGCACTTACGACGAATGACAGCCTGGAAATATTCAGAAATCGCCAGAAGTCCTGATGGACATCCTGCCCGAACCACTAGTGCTAGTGCTAGTGCTCACCAGTGCTCATCCAACAGAAATCTAACATGAGGTAAATGCCATATTACCGAGGCTATGAAAACTCTGAGCACAGCCTGCTGTGCACGGTGGTGGACAGCAAGATTATTATTACGAAAATCTTGGGATAATACGCTGCACGCATGTACATACGTTGGGCCCTCTTTTTTTGTCTCTGGTTGTGTCATTATGTAGGCGTACCTCTTGCACTCGCAGGAACGGTCAGCAGTGATAAACGATTTACGGGTGTTGCCTAAAAGGTAAGTGACAGCCTCGGAACCGAAGGCATGACGCCAAAGTCGCCCTGGAACCTTGAAGATTGGATATCGGATATCGATTGACCTCCCGATAGTCGTGCACCCACTTCAGCGTCTTCAACAATTCAAGACCACATTGTCTTCCCTGCATCGATTTATCTTTTGTGTTCCTATTTAATCCGTCTCAAATTCGCCTATCCTGAAATTTCCCGAGTACGCACACCATGTCCCCCCACAACGCCTGAGGACTGAGATGACTG